TCTTTCCCTTTCCCTTCTTTCTCTCTTTTTTGTTGGCTGGAAGGGGGGGGGGGGGGCAAAGGCAAAGGCCTTACTCCGCGATCCACATCTTGTTTGCTGGAAAATTGCTACTGATATCCTTTCTTTTCTTTTCTTCTTTTGTTTCTTTCCCTTTCCTTCCTTCTCTCTTGTTTTGCGGGGGGGGGGGGGGAGGCAACAGCATGGGCGGCAAGGCCCTTTTTGGTCCCCCCGATCTCCTTCTTTTTCCCTTTTTCATTTTTTCTTCCTTTCCTCCTCTCTCTTTTTTCACTTCTTTTCCTTCTTTCTCTCTCTCTCTCTCTATCTCTCTTTTTGTTTGCTGAGGGGCCAGGGGAGGGCAGGCGAAGGCCTTTCGCCCCCGATCCACACTGCGTTGTTGGAAAAATTCACAATTGATCTCCCGTAACTTTCTTTTCTTTCCCTTTCCCTTCCCTTCCTTTCTCTCTCTGTTAAGTTTGCTGTAGAAGGGGGAGGCAAGGGCCATTTGCCGCCCCCGATCCCCAACTTGTTGGCGGGAAAACTGCAACTGATATCCCCCCTTTTTTCTTTCCTTCCCTTTATCTCCTCTTTTCCCTTTTTTCTTTCCCTTCTCTTCCTTCTATCTTTCTTTTTGCTGGGGGGGGGGGGGGCAACAGCCTGGGAGGCAAAGCCCTTTCGCCCCCCCCCCCGATCTCCTTCTTTCTCCTTTTCTTTTCTTCTTCCTTTCCCTTTGTCTCTTCTTAACCTTTCCTTTTTTAAAATTTCCTTCTTTCTCTCTCTCTCTTGCTGAAAGGGGGGTGGCGATGGCCTTTCGCCCCGATCTCCTTCTTTTCCCCCTTTTCTTTTCTTCTTCCTCTTCTTACTTTCCCTTACTCTCCGCTTTACCTTCTCTTTCTCTCTCTCTTTCTCTTAAGTTTTGGTTGGCGGTTGGGGGGGGGGGGGGGGGTCAAGGCCCTCTCGCCCCCCCCCCGCCCCCCTGGATCCACGCCGGGAAGACCTGTAGTCAGGCGCGGATCCAGGATTTCCTAGGGGAGGGGGCCCAATTTTTTTTTTTTTTTTTGCTCCCGAAAATTTGAAAATCGCGCCTGCCGAAAAGTCGCTCAGTAGGGGGGGGGGGGGGATATGAGAGTATATCCCTGTTTGTTTTGACTATGTATACGTGTGGACTAGAGTACGGACATTCGGTGCGGCAGGCGGACAATTGGTGCGAGACCTCTTCCGCACAGGTTGTCCGTCAGACATTTGAGGCGCGCACAGAATGTCCGACACGGACATTCTGCGCGGATAAAATCCGCACCGATCGTCCGCTCTCGATCGATCTCTAATAGTCGGACGATCGGTGCGGGTTACATTCTATGCGGTCACACCAGTCTGGAGTAAACTGGTATATCACCCTTTTGCGGCGGTCGTCAGCAGTGGAGCCAGACATAGTCTTACTCTTAGTGACTCAGTAGAAATATACCAGGATTTGAGACTAGCTGCTCATCATAGCAGTCTCGATCGGACAGGACACACACACACACACGCACAAACACGCGCGAACACACACACACACACACACACACACTCAAACGAACTCAGTTTCCCCCTCTCGCGCGAAGCGCGGAAGCCTTGACGTTTCCTTTAATTATTAGAGAAAGCAGACGATTGGGTGTACTGTTCTCGACTCTTGATTCTCGTCTGAATTCAGTTTCCCATTCCCGCGCGAAGCGCGAAAAGCTTAGACGTTTCATTTAATTATTATAATATAGACAGAAGACGATTCGTTGCACCGTTTTCGACTCTTAATAAGCCCTATTTATCTGAATTCAGTTTCCCTCTCTCGCGCGAAGCGCGGAAGCCTTGACGTTTCCTTAAATTATTAGAGAAAGCAGACGATTGGGTGTACTGTTCTCGTCTGAATTCAGTTTCCCCTTCCCGCGCGAAGCGCAGAAGTTTTGACGTTTCATTAAATTATTAGAGAAAGCAGACGATTCGCTGTACTGTTTTCGACTCTTAATAAGCCCTATTTATCTTAATTTAGTTTCCCCCTCTCGCGCGAAGCGCGGAAGCCTTGACGTTTCCTTAAATTATTAGAGAAAGCAGACGATTGGGTGTACTGTTCTCGACTCTTAATTCTCTTCTGAATTCAGTTTCCCCTCCCCGCGCGAAAAGCTTGGATGTTTGATTTAAATATTATAGAAAGAAGACGATTCGTTGCACCATTTTCGACTCTTATTAAGCCCTATTTATCTGAATTCAATTCAATTCATTCAATATAAACAACAAATTAATTCATTCATAGACCTACACAAACATCACATGCATTGCAGCCCTTAAATATCATCCCCTCGTCCCTTAATTTTTAGGTGTGAACAAATGACAACCACCGAGTAGGACTTGGGCAATGCTACAGTTACCGTATTATTTATCACTCTCAATCAGATGCGCTCACAGTTTTCACACCTCTTTCTGGAATTCATATAATGATACATGTACTGTGTTTATTATTTAAATCTAATGAATTCTTTAATTTCCTCAGCCAAATCCTTTCTCAAAAATAAAAATAATAAGAATGTGTACAGGCTTACCTTGAAATAACTGAAGAGACAAACGGCCACTGTAAGTCTTGAACACGCCAGGTCTGGAACTTCAGTCTTCATCTACCCCCCCCCCCCACACACACACACTCCGGGGTCGGAGGGACCGCATGCGCGTTCCTAAAATCTCCAGGAAAGGGGTATTTTTTCGCGCGACAAAATCCGGCCCGAGAATTGTAAAAAAAAGGGGGTGTATTTGACTTTTCACCCGGAGATTTCTTTAAAAAGGGGGTGGGTTTTTTCTCTCTCTCTTTGGACTCCTGAGAAATGTAAAAAGGGGTTTATAAAATATCTTGAATATCATAAAAAAATTGATCGAATCCCGGGATCAAATTCCTGAAACTCCTGCTAGCTTTGAAAGCTCATTCAGGATTATTCATTTTGAAAAGTAAAAACATTGCCCCCAGCCCCCAGTCCCCCTCGATCGACTAGAGCTTACCTGAAATTAGGGGGGGGGGTGGTACATTTAGCAGTGTTCCGGATTTTTTTTTTTTTTTTTTTTTTTTTTTGGGGGGGGGGGGGTCTTCAAGGCAGGAAAAGCCAGCGAAAAGCGAAAGGGGGATTCAGAAATGTTGGCAGTCCTGAGATGGGGGGGGGGGGGTGCTTTCAAAGAGAGGGAACGTGCATACGCGTACCCTAAATAACACTGAGTGGGGGGAGCCGGGCATCTACTGTACATGATTGCACTTTAAGTCTAGGCTATAATAATACCTCAGGGGCGGATCTAGCTTTTTGCTAAGGGGGGGGGGTTTGACCAAAATAATGACGATGCAGAGCATCGTCCACGAGCCGCGTAGCGGCGAGCCGATTTTTTTTGGGGTGTTTATTTGAACCCCGTAAGTGATGTTTTCCTGGCATCTATTAACACAATGGAGACCATAAAAAGCAGTGCATGATAACGTCTTTTTAAATCAAGTAACAGCTTAATACACAGTTATATCCAGCCTTTTTATCATGTGTTTGGTTAAGTTACCAGATGAGTTGAATATCTTCTCACAATATTTGCACTTGAAAGGGTTTCTCTCCAGCGTGCGTTCTTTTTTTTTTTTTTTTTTCTTTCTTTCTTTTTTTGTTTTTTTTTTTTTTTTTGGGGCCGCCCAAGGGGGGGGTTTGAACCCCCTAAACCCCCCCCCCGTAGATCCGCGCCTGTACCTTGCAAAATAACGAAAAATTATTCTGAATTTAATGAAGTGCTTGTTCGCGCACGTCGCGCAACTACTCTTAATGATCGTGACATACTGTATACGTGTAGGCTATACAGTTATACATACATTAAAAAACCCCACTAATTTCTCATGCATTATGCTGAAAGTGAAACCATCCCATTTTTTTTCTTCTTCTTCTTCTTTTTTTTTTCTCTCTTTTTTTTTGTAATCTCAGGGGGGGGGGGGGGGATGATTGTACAGGTCATCCCCCCTACTTCAAACCAGGGGGGGGGGGGATGCGCAGCCCCCCTCCCCCGGGATTTACGCCCCTGGTTGAAGCTTTCCATCTAAGATATATATATATATATATATATATATATATATATATATATATATATATATATATATTTCCTTCACACATGCAGGCAGGTCAAAGTTTGATCATTTATATTCGCACCCTTTCTGTTTTCCGCAATGGGGCTATAGACAGCGTTAACTAAACATTTTGACAATCTTTTAGACACTTTTGTAGATCCTGAAAATGTAAGGAGCACTATTTTTTTCTTTCATCCAAATTCGTGAGAAGATATTTCAGCGCTTGCGCCAGTGGGAGGGGCCCATCTTCTTTTTTTATTTAAAAATGGTTAAATTTACCTGTTTTGAGGGCCAGAGGAGGTGGCCAGGGGGCCCGGGCCCCCCTAGATCCGCCACTGGTATTGCAACTTGATACTTGATGAGGTAATCCCTGAAGCAGCTTTTTCAAGCTATACTGGGATGGGATGTGTTGTGATTGACAGCAGGTGAAGGTGCAGACACTGCCCTTGAGATGATTCTTTGAAAATTCTTGCAATCCAATTCTCTCCTCTCTTTCCCTTTCTCCTCTATTTTTCATCTAATTCCACTAACGTTTCTCTTCTCATAGTCCTCCTTTGCGTGTGTATGTGTGTGTGTATGGGGGGGGGGGGGGTGTCCACTTATGCAACCAACTTTAGTGATTTGACGTCACATATTTTTTATTAAATATAATGAGCTGCCCCACCCCCACGCGTGCAGGTAAACAACAAATAAATGATCTAGCAGACGACACCGCCTTGGTCTGTTTATTTGCGCAAGCTTGATTCATATGATCTAAAAATATAACTTGGTTTTATTTTATATTCAGTATTTAAAAAATATGATTTCAACACAATGAAATATTTAATAGAGCAAAACAGAAAATAAAATAGGTTAAAAAGTTTAATTATATATTAAAACATGAAAATCACGCCATCAAATTTTCACTCTGTAAAACGGCTACGACATCTTTCCAACATGGCAGATATTTTAGAAACACCCACCAGTGTTATCGCCGTAGAGAATCATGAGAATGGGGAGGAAAACGGGAAAGATGTTCACCCTCTAGCTGCTGCAATGGATGATGAAGAGGAGGAGATTATATCGGTATGTCAATTATTGTTTAATGTTTACCCATCTCTGTACTGTTCTTTGTCTGATAACCAGTATTATGCTGACAATATGACTAAGTTAGTCTCTAATATGAATCTCTCACATCGCATTCATTCCTAACACGTATTAACAGTAACATAAACAATACACGTCTGAAGCTTCTGAAGGCGGTTACATACCTGATGACATGTACACTTACGAATACGAGTAACTTACGAATTTCGTACGCATTAGCCATTGGCATTGCATTACGGTGCACTGCAATGATAAGTGATACTGATAGGGATACCGTCTACTGTCCGTTATGTCAGTTTTATTAATAATAGGGTGTCTCAATAATTTTTCAATTTTATTTTGGGGTGGTTCGTTTATCATCATTATGGTTGGATAATTGAAAAAATCAACCAGGCAACTCGTAAGAACACATCAAATTTGAAGACACTGATGTTTCTAAATTCGGTGCTAGATCTAGACCTATTTCATAATCATATCCATACTTTGACCTGTAACTAGGGTGTCTGATCACGCACCCGATGTTGTGTGCTAAAATTCTTCCCATAGTCATTACACGCATCCCTATGCAGTCTACGTGCATTGCGCGACCATGCAAAAAAAGTCAATTTTTTTTTTTCAATTCGAGATTCAAACCTTTATCTGTTGTGATCCTGAAGGTGAAAATCAATAAATGAGGTGTCATATGAAAGAGCAGGTAAATTCCAATATTTCCAATGGGGCGTAGCCCCCGAAATTCTAAAAATATCTTGGTCAAAACAGCAATTGAAACATTGTGTCCTGGCTAACTCTGAGGTTTGTCACTTTTGAGATATGACGCCCCGATCGATAAGTAGTCCCAGTCCTAAGGAACAATTCTATGTGCTTATTTTTTCGCTAGCCCCCAGGGATCACAACTGATAACAGTTTAAAAATACCCTTCTCGCTATTTGGTGGATCAGCTAATTAGGGGGCGTGCGCTCCGCTCAGTCCAAACCATGGTTACATCGCGTAACATCTCCGCGTACGAACGAAACCCCAAATTCAAGTATGGGTGGCCATTCGCGGCATAAAACCCGGAAGTGAATACACGTTATAGTCAATGGCAATATCGCGGAGACATCTCCGCGATATTGCCATTGACTATAACGTGCATTCACTTCCGGGTTTATTGTGCGACGAACGCCAACCATACTAGTCAATGGCACATGTCGCGGAGACAGCGTAGCTCAAGCTGCAAGTCGCGGATTGGCTTAGCAGCATGCGTACGATATGCATACGCTTGCATATCGCGCGATACAGCTGTTTGGCTAAATTTAGCAAAACAACATCACTCTGCGTGGACGTCTTTTTCGTCGATTTTGACCAAAATGATATGAATATACCAGCGTTTTGGAGGGGCTGTAACTTTTGATAGAAACATCGGTGAGACTTGAAATTTGAAATGTATTATTCTGATAACATTTTTTATTCAAATATCAAACAAAAATGGTGAAAAACGATCCCAAATTGAAAATTGAAAAATCATTCAGACACCCTACTGTAACTCTGGCGTGGAAAAAACATAGCAAAAATCAACCCAAATCTTCATCAATTGTTCAAATAATGGTCATGATTTTAAAAGTCGTTATGTTCTACCTAGCTGTTTCATGTCAATTTCTTTTTTGGAGTATTTTTTAAAAAGGAAGACTTATAATATAAACTTTCTAACAAGATTCACGGCAAACTGCTGCACAATACAATTGCATACCATATCTACTGCGGAGTGTGGGGCGCGCATGCATGCGTGAAGTTAGCGACCGTAATGAAGAATTACTCACATGAATTTTATAAGGATCTGAGATTACATTCGCTATCTTCAGTCGCACCCCACTGTTGGTATGCTATAAGGTATGGAATTGTATTGTGCAGCGGGCTGCCAATTTGATAATTAATTTAGGATAATGGTGATAAGTGTAAAAAGGCGCACAAGCAGGGAGTTAGTTAAATTAAGAGAATTCCAAGCACTTCTAGTATGGGATGTCTAAGAAGTTGGACTTATGGGGGCCGTTTCTCGAAACCGTCATAACTTCAAGATCAACGACATCTCGCCACTGTCACGCAACTTGTCAGCTAAGTGTTTCACGAAGCCGTCTTTGCCAAGATGAGCGACAACTTCTGCGACAAGCGAGTTGTCACTGCTCCGAACCTGTCATATCTTTTCAATTGCTGTAAAGCGCCATCACAAGTCAGTTTGTTGCCATTCCATGGGCCGCGAAATGGACGATTAGTTTCACTATCATTTTGAGAAAAATATAGACAAGTTCGGTACGTAATTCTCTGGGATGCGAAATGCAAATTTATGTACAAAAGTGAGAATACAAATTATACAGAAACTTTAAAAAGCTGAACATAAACATTAAATCACAAATCATTAAACTATAACATATAAATAAGAGAGGTAAGAATGTTACACACCGTTTTCCATAGTCGATCCATAGTCTTTTCTTAGGATACCGTCATACCTTTGGGGCCTATGTGCATTATTATTCCCTCTCTAATTACTTCTTCCAAATTATATTTTCAATATCAAATCAATTATATAACGAGTATTTATGAGACTCTAGAATAAAAACTGGCTGAGAAAAGACATTTTGCCTAAAATTCCTCGTCACAATAAACAAAAGAGTACGTATTGATAAACTATCACATTACGGTATCCTTCAACTAACTTTTGATTCGACTGTCGAAAAAAAAAACACTCACCGGTTTTTCTTCAATTTAAGAATCTTTACAGAAATATGCAAATCGTTTGATGATGTAAATATGATAATGACACTATTTATTATTTATTTTAGGAGAATTTATATGTATATGTTTCTTTTTGAACAATTTTAGCCCCAAAACTTGTTTTGGGTTATTCTTCATAAATCAAATGGATCGTGACAAAGACTATGTGCTTGAGCTGCTAGTATCGCGATATATCGATATCATGTCTGTCATGGCTTTGTGAAACAGTTTATCCGCTTCATGACATCTTCGTAGGTCGGCAACAAAGATATGACTGTCATGGAGTTGGTTTCGAGAAACGGCCCCCTGGTAGTTTAAAAAATGTCTCATGCTTCTCTGATTTTCTGTTTTCTTTCGGAGCAACTTGCTTCAAAGTTTAGATTTCCCATTGAAGTTGATTTAAAACCTCTTTCCCCGTTTTCTTTCCTTCAGACAATCTTAGCCTCCCCAGGAGGTGATTCCATAGCCTCTACCAAGGCTCTGATTGGTTCATACAACTTTGAAGATGACGACGACGCAAGAGATCTCTTTATAAAGGTTGATGACCCAATGAGGCACACCGGCAAAATGGAATCATTTGTCAGCTACAGAGTTACAACGAAGGTCAGCATATGCAGGTTTCTGTATTAACTTTGATCAGAGTTTGTCCAGAGTGATATTTGTAGGGTCTGTATGGATGACCTCTTATATGTCTGTGGCATCTGTAAGTGCCAAGCCCTTGAATGTGGATTTTTAAAATTTATTGTTTAAAATGGAAGATGTTATTGTGTCATTTCATCATCAGACTCTTTGTTCCTGGAGCCTCTTAGTCTTAGATTTAAACTCTCTTTAAACCTGTGGTGATCCCCAACATTTGCTCTTGCAAGATTTGATTCTGGCTTTATTTTGTTGAGCGGTAATGGATAGGTATCATGTCAGATCCAGGGTTGAAGTAAGAAGTTTGATAAGAAACGGCAATTGACTGAAGAGCAAATGTCACCGAACCATGTGCCATACAATCAAGCCTGTTTATGACTATTTTTCAACTTGGGTTTCATTGAGTTGATTATCTGTGCTGGTACAAGCTGGAGAATACATGTGTAATACGAGTCCAGTTACATTTATTAGTTCTTGTAACTGAAACTGATTTTTGTTATCTTTTCTAACACCCAGACAACAAGGAGCTCATTTGACAATCCAGAATACAGCGTAAGACGGAGATATCAAGATTTCCTGTGGTTGAGGCAGAAGCTTGCAGAAGTCCAACCAACACATCTAGTACCAGTAAGACATCTTTCCACAATCTAAACCTTGCATTGATGTAGGGTCATTCCGTAGGGATGGGCAATTTTTGTGACGTACCAGAAGTGAGAAACTATGTCTCCTATCAACCGTAACAATTTTTGCTCAAATTTAGTTTAGCTTAAAAAGCATAGCGAACTATGTCTAGAAGTACATCAGCATTATTTACTCTGGATTGTTTAAATCCTGTAGTAGATTGGTTGCTTGAACCAGAAATTAAAACAAACTCACAAAAACTTACTGGGCATCATCTTTGATAGAAACCACAACTCCCATTTGCACATAGTGACCTGTGTTAAGCACGTGGTGTCCTGCCTACTTACCCAGATTTCCTTATCTTTCTATGCTAATTACTCAGCCACTATACATTTTCTACCAAACTTGTTTGGCACATGTCATTTATTTGTTATCTTGAACATCCAGTGTAAGTTTTGTTGGATCCTGTGAGAATTTATTTTCTATATTTACCAGAACACAAGTTTACATTCAATGATATGAAGTGGCTATCCCAGAAAGATTAATCCTGAAAAAGTAGACTTCATTATGTCTTCTTTCCTCAATAGGCGGTGTCAGACAGAGGCCAATTATCTGGAAAATAGTAATCCACTTAATTGGCTGTCTGATATCAATTATCCCTTTAAAAAAAACCTCTTACGAAACATGAAAATTCTCCCTTGAAAAGATTTTTCGCTGGATTTTTGGCAGGAATTTTCTGTCTGACGCCAATGTTGAAACAATCCCTTTAGAGGTCAATGTTTGACTTAATTATTAGCTGGCATATATGGTAGTCAATGCGCTATCATAACCTGCGCACAATAATATTAGCGCGCATTTAATGAGACGCGCTAATTGCACATTACTTTCCGATTGAACGTGTGATGTCACTATGCTTATCTACCTTAACGGCGCGTGCGCAATGGCCCATCAAAAATCCAGACTTAAGTTATCCGGATTATTTGTAGCATGTCTGTCACCAGTCTGTTCCCTACAGTACGTAAATGATCTAGATTTCTAAAAGCTAGTTTATTCAAGATGGGTCAGGATTCTTCTGTCTGATTCCGCCCAATGTTAATGTTTGATTTGATTGACATGTTTCTTAAAGCTTATCTTTTTTCCATCTCTTTCTGTCTTTTCTTACCCAGCCTCTCCCTGAGAAGCAGAGCATGCGGTTAGACCGCTTTGCCCCTGAGTTCCTGGCGGCAAGACGAAGAGCACTCCACAAGTTCTTAGAACGAATCTCAGAGCATCCAGTCCTATCCTTCAATGAGAATCTTCAAGTTTTCGTTACAGCCAAGGCATGGGTAAACTCTTATTGTTTCAATTTTCTCATAAATGTCACTGCTTCAGTATCGTGTGGCTTACCGGTTGATTTCAGTTTCCCCTGAGAATAGTTTGCTTGCATGAAAATCATGTGGTAAAGTATTATCATTTGACTTTAGTTTTGAAATTGTTGTATCTATGATGTTAGAAGAGTTCTGTTTATTTGTCAACACCTGCATTTATATATGTACATGTACATATGATATTCTTCTCTTAGTGTGCCTGATTAAAGCTTTCCACAATAATTGTACCCCATCCCATATGCCTATAGATATAAATTCTGAAGAAAATAAAAAACAACTGCCAACTTTGTTTGAAAGTATGAGAATGCTACTCAAGTAAAAGCTGCATTAGTGTAAATTGCTTTGTATGTTCAATAATGGTAAATGTCTTGAAGTACTTGGTTGTAAAAATTGAACAGGGGAATACAGAAATATAGTGAAAACGTATCCCATTTTAGAGTGGTCAGTATCAATAATTTTCATCTATTATTTTTTAAGCCTTCAATGGAAGTTTTAAGAAGAAGTCTCTCTACCTGTTGAACCATTACTGGGCCACTGAATTAACAGCATTATTGGAAAAATTGTTTTAAACATACAAGCCTGATAATTTCCGGATATAATTGGGTTTCATGATTTTTGTTGTCATCATGCTAATTCAGGTAACTCATTTTTCAGAAGTGTGAGGGTTTCAACTACATTACACCGAAGTCCATCCTCATGATTTGGAGCAAAAGCCAAAAGCCTTTATATCAGATGAAGTGTTAACACATAGTCTAAACCTTATCTGTTTGATTATACCATTATACAGGGCGTATCATAATAAAGGATATTGAAGTTTAATGACGATTTATATGAAAACTACTGATTTCATAATCAAGCATTTTATGTCTGTTGTAAGGACAGAATGTCCTCTTGTTAATGACACCCCGATCATACTACTACTGTCACAGTTGACTGAATAACAAAGCATTGCTGTCCACCATGTGAAAGGTGCACTGTGACAAGTTAGCATTCACAGATAAATTCTAAAGATTAGTGCTTGTGTCAGCCCAGACATATTGAAATGCTGAACAATGAGTGGATTATGTGTCTAAGAAGGAAATGTTATCAAACTTGGCGCAGTGCACCTTTCACATGGTGGACAGCAATGCTTTGTTATTCAGTCAACTGTGACAGTAGTAGTATGATCGGGGTGTCATTAACAAGAGGACATTCTGTCCTTTACAACAGACATAAAATGCTTAATTATGAAATCAGTAGTTTTCATATAAATCGTCATTAAACTTCAATATCCTTTATTATGATACGCCCTGTATATTATTTTCTCCTCTCTTTAAAAAAAGTTCTACCCTACTCAAGTTGTACTCTTATAAGTGCTTCATGTGATTTCTACTTTGAGGCATTTGATATCAAGCAGATTCAGTGTCTTGGCTAACAAGTGTTTTTATATTATCAATAAATATTACTATAACATTTTTATCTGTTTGCCATCTGTCCCACAGGAGCTAACAGCTCATCGGAGGCAGTCCATGTCCCTCATGAGTCGTATGGGATCCTCCCTGCGGACCACTACCACTGCTGCTTTACTCAGGAATAGAAGCCCAGAGTTCACTGTGATGGGAGAGTATGTTCAGATGCTGGGAGAGAAACTAGGATCTATTGAAAGGATATCACTCAGGATATTACAGGAATCCAAAGGTGTGTAGTATGTTCCTAGCATGTGTAATGCCTCAGTCACACCTTTGTATATTTGGCTTGCGTATTGCTGCATATTCATGGCAAGCCGTTTTAACATTTATTCCTATTTTTTGTTATCAAGAAATGATTTTCTGTTGTAAAGCAATGGTAATTCTTGATATCAAGAAATAGGAATAAATGTTAAAACAGCTTGCCATAAATATGCAGCAATACGCAAGCCAAATACGCAAAGGTGTGACTGAGGCATAATGTGAATAAAAAGGTGTGCATGACCCAATCTGGAAATAAAGTGAACTTAATTGTATATGTCAGTGTATGTGCACTATAGAAATAAAGTGCTTTGTTTATCGATTTACACTTGTGAAAGGGGCATATTGGTTGCATAGAATGAATGTCCAAGTGGATCACGGACCGTGTTTGTCAGAGCCGTTGATAAGGTACCTTGATATTGACACTCTATAAATTAGCGGATTAGATTGGATTTGGATCATGAGTGTTCATTGGAATATGGTTCATTTATATACTTTGTACTCTGTACTCTAAAATAAAAATTAATTGCAATGTAATCGGCATGAGGTCTAACTGTTTGCTACATGTTCTTTTATATTGCTTTTCAAAGTACTCTGGGAATGTATATTCTCACCTAACACTGTCAGCTGTTATCAGAACACTGCTTTTCAGGAAATAGATTTAAAGTACCTGGTATACGTTTTGATCAAGAGAGAGAACTTTAGAGTGTAGACAAAGAGCATATGCACTAGGGCTGTTGTATCATTTACCTAGAAATTGAGAGTAAAATGAATGAACTACTATACCATATTGAAAGTGAAAGTATATTGAGTGATTTCAAGTTGGATGTTTAGGGCTGGTGTTAGTGTTAAATAAACATTCAACACCAGCCCTAAACACTGAAATGGAAATCAGTTGGTTTTAAGGTTTTGACCTCTGAATATTATTAAATTCCGGTAGCTAGTGTTATCGATTTTGCGAACATCCAACTTATAATCACTTATTGTATCCTGTCTATCTTGATGTTAGATTATGTGAGTGAGTTGAAGACATACAGCCCTGCCTTCAGACTATGGAGTAACTCAGAGACTGAGCTAACGACTCCACTCAGCAAGATGGCCGACGGTGTTGAGATCTGTACCCAATCAATAGAAGATCAAGTAAGTTCAGTTGCTTTATAGGCCCAAGTTATCCTAAAAGTTATGTGCTATATTTAGATCACATTCTTCTGGCAAGTGCATAGGATTTGTACATTAGGCGATATCATGCAAAAATTGCTATCTGATTGTACTGAATGATAGTTAATTTTGAATGAATATTAAAACCCTCAACAAATTTATCTTCTCCCTCCCCTCCCCCTCAACAAAATGTGCAATATCGTGACATATATTTGAAGGAGATCAATCCATTTGTCACTTAATTAAAGCATTTTATATCAATGTATGACTAATGAAGATGCATTTAAATGTGTAGCATTATATTTCATGTTGTTTTTTGTTTTTTTCCACAGAATACATACCAAGAAACAGACTTTTTGCCTTTCGTCAAAGAATACAGCCTCTACACAGAATCTATAAAGGTGAGAACTGTTCTTAATATTCTCAACATTTATGAAAACCAGTGACATCTAAAACCATAGCTTATTATTAAAGGAAAGGATCAGGCCAGGCATGCAACTGAGTTAGTATTGTATGTTGTTATATTGTTGGTATGTGCTCCAACTTACAAGGTCCAAGGTAAATGATAGTTAGTGAATAGGGCCGGGGGGGGGGGGGGGGGGGGGGGTAGTGGCTTAGGTGGATTTTCCCTGGTTTAGTCATAACACTCTCTGTCTATTACCATTGATTTTTGTCAACATAGTTGGATGTTTTCAAATCCAATTTAAAAACTTATTTGTTCAATTGAGAGATCTTATTTTGTAGAATTTAGTAAAAAGGAGCTCTTAACCAGCACAGCTGAATATATTTTTGTATAAAAGCTGCGCTATATAAATTTATTATTATTGTTATTATTATTATTATTATGATATTGGAGCCTGGACAATAATACCTACCATTCAAACAATAGGACTTACCATTCAAACAATAGGAAAGTAACATTAGTTGGAAACAGTATTCAAATCTACCCCTTGATCTTCTACTCCGCAGACTGTACTAAAGAAACGTGATCAGTTTCAGATGGAGCATGAATTGGCTGTGGAGGAACTCAACAAGAAGAAGAATGAAAGAGAACAGGTAATGTAATCCTTTAGTTGTTAAATTCCAGAAACTCCTACTGTGATGATAGCACATAGATTGCTAACTTGATGTAGAGAATGTAACGGGCGTAACAGTATGGTTTCATTGACATGAATTGACTTGTAAACTGAGATATTAAAAACATGTTTTGAAAATGAAACAACATTCAGCTCTTGACTGACTGATTTGATCAAGCAGATACTACTAACGGGAAGTCCCACTGCTACTGTATTTTCTCTACCTTGTCTCTAAATAAGAAGACTCTTTTTTGGGGGGGGGGGCACATGATGTGAAGGCAATTTGAAGACCGGTACTTGAAATGAAATTGCATCTTGAGAAAAACCTTGTCATTATTCCGAAAAAATTCAGATGAAAGCTTGAAAGAAACAAAAACCCAACAAAAAAATCCACCTTTGTTTAGGAAGTGCCTTGAATCCCCCATCAGATCAAACATGTTTTATATATGGAGGGATAATGTGCACAGTTGTTTTTATTGCAATAAATCTTACATTTGTGTCATTTTGGTGCAAGTAAATGTAATTAGTGACACTACATTGTAGTGTGTGTCTTGTTTAATGAAGCTGTAATGAAGATAAAGATGAAGATAAAGATTAAAATAAAGGGATATTTTGTTCCTTCTTTTTTTAAAAGAAAGATTAGACTTATGAATTCAAAGAACTCAGCTGTGCATGTTTTTCTGTACTGTTCTATCTTGAGAATTATTTTCGGAAAGTTTGTATTTTGTTTAAAAGCTTATCTTTAGTTCTGGTAGGGATAGATACATACATGTACGATATAGAATACTAAAATTAATTAATATTGTTGAACAGTTTTCTGAGAAATTGTGTATTAGCTGTGAAATGCGGAAAGAAAAATGATAGAATAGAACTAGTCTTAATGATAGTATTTTGGGCATGAGACAGACTTTCAATGTTTGTAATTACCAACAAGTTTCTGTTCAATAGTTTGTTTACACAGTACCTAATTTATAGCATGATAATCAATACAGATTGTATGAGTTTGTCAGGAAATAGTTTCATCATCAGAACTCAAGATTAGCTTCAAGTAACATTGTGAATGACTAATTCTTCATGTTGATATTGACTTTAATTATTTGGGGGCTCATGGTTATTATATAGCTATCATTTCATTTTGGTTTATTGGTATGACTTTCATTTGGTTATGGGCGATTCATGAAACCTCATTTGCTTCATGATCTTATTTCTATTTGTTTGGATTAGGAGAGCTTTCATTACAACTAATATCCTTGATTCTCTTTGACATATTGCTAAAACCAACTTGTCTCTTTGTAAGCAATTTAAGAAGAGATGAAATTCTTATAACAATGATAGTAGTAACACTGGTTTCTTGTATAGCACATTTCCATTAACTGACCAAAGAGCTTACAGTATTGTTGTTACCCTGGTCACTTGATTCAATCGCTATTCTGCACATCAAGTGCACTTTTTCCTCTCGCTGGGGAGCATTCCAGTCTGTCGCCTTTTAACAAGTGCGCTCATGCTAGTTCATCCACAATGACATCAATCAAGAGTTCAATGTAAGGGAGATAAAGTAGATGACCATATTGGCATATTATCCCCAGATTTTTTTTTTTTTTTTTTTGGGGGGGGGGGGGACAGCTCTTCTGGCACACAAATGAAATAGCAATTCACTTTAACTTTTATTTTTTCCTTCACATTTCTGAATTGAGTTTGCCTGACTACATTAAACCACATTCATTCTATTATTAACTCATATCTCCAAACCATTGCATAACAACAGATTCATTCTAAACGCAGACAGCTCATACCAAAGGTAACATTGCCATACGTCCACTGTACATTGTTGGTTACTTGCATTGGTTACTTGTGTTGGTTACTTGCTTTGGCAGCTCAATAGAATATTTGTGTGTAGAAATGCTGGGTAAAAAGCTGTGAAAATGTAATTCAGTTGCTTTGTTTTCTCTCGCTTCATTTTGATTTCATCTCACTGGTTTCATTTTATCTGTTGGCCAATGTTTCTGGTTTGTGTTGTTGAATGCACATCAACTGCATGTAAGGAGAATTGCTTGTCATTTCATGATATTGTTGTTTTTATTAGTCTGTTATTTCATACGTGATGCTCTGTAAGTTTGTAACTTTACTCCTGTCTATCAATCTGGGCTAATCTTTATCGTTCTTCCCTCAAATCTACACTTTATTCTACTGCATATCATAGCTGTGCTGTTTTTGCGATGATAAATATTATATATTTCCTTTTTCTAAATACCCAGACCTGACATTGAGGAACAACCACAATACCAGTGGAAGTCCCTTTTTTCTTTTACCTAGAGATTCCAGGCTTTTCCAGTGATATATAGTAACTTGTAGTTTATTGCAGTACAATCCACTTATATAAACTTAAAGATATCAATAACAACTATTAAGGTAAATCACCTTTCCCCCATTCATTCCATCGTGGGCTTTGCAACTTCTTGGTAGTTTTTAGCCTCTATGATCTACCGGTATTGGTTACATCCATTCTTCCTCTGCTGGCTGGCATGGATATGTTTGCTCTCATTTTGATGATCACCTGTTTCTCCTCCATCTTCTTCATCAGCTATCCCTGTCATGATCACCTGTTGATACAGATACTTATTATTGTCCCCAAAGCGTCTGAACACATTACTACTAAGCCATTACGAAGCCATTGTAATTTTTTCCTTTTCCTCCTTGTTTGGTTACTCTAAATGCTGCTTGGTTTGACAGAGACTGTCGCCAGATCGTTAACATTAAATGCAATTCTTCCTGCTTGTCTTTCCCTGTTTTCTCCATTTCAATATTTTTCTTGGACTGTACATGCATCATGTATTCATTATCATATTGGTTTATACTCGTACTCGTACATGTACATATATGCTTGAAATCAATCCAGCCTGCTGTCTTTAAAACAGTGTCACACCTGTTTCCTAACCCTCTCATTCACAATATACACCTGCTTCAATTTTTCCAATCTATTTTTTCATGGTTCTTATCCACCTCGGCCATTCTAGTATATCTACACTCAGCTTATTATTTGTACTTTTTATTTAAATCAAACCCTGTTGATGCCATCAGGAGCAGTTGCATGATGTAATCCAATCCTATCTCACTTCCTCTTCTGTCCGTCTGTCTGTGTGTCTGTCCATCTGTTTGTCCATCTGTTTGCATGTTGACTGGTGCAGGTGAAAATCTCGGATCAGAACTACTCGTTTGGTGCTATCATGGGTAAAGACCCAGCCGATGTCAAAGAGGCAAAGAGTGGCAGGATAGTATCGAAGATAGAACAGGTAGATATCAATAGTGTGTAGCAAAATGGGAAACATGATGGGATACATACATGTGTGGTTCATTCATTTTGGAGTTGTGGTTTTACTAACTAACATCCTATTTACCCTTTTCCTTCTTCATATTATCTTTCTTTTCTTCTCCCCCCTTTTTTAAAGCCACTGACAAGTATTTAGCAAGAATAATCTTTTTGATTTTTCATTGATTTGATTTATCATCAACTTATTTGATAAGCGATATACAAGAAATAATGAAAAGGTTTCCAATTATGACCTGCTTGCGCTAAAAGATCAGTGATAAGTCATCAAACTCTATGTTTAGTGCGTATGGTTTTAAAATTGCTATATATTTCTAATTTTTTAGTATGATTTTACTAGCTTACTGAAATGGAACCTATCCAAAGTTTCCTCCATACCAGTAACATATCTTCAGATTAAAAATTTAATGGGGGGGGGGGGGGGGGGGGGCGGGGCAGGGCTTGAATCTTAGATAAAAAAAGAGCAAATTACAATTGCAGGCAGGTAATCACAAATTCTCCGGGCCAAAGCAAAAATGATGTCTGGAGTATAGATGGGGAAATGATGTTCAGGGTTGTCAAACAGCTAAAATCCAGACTTAGTCATTCATTCCTTAGGAAATTGAATCTGTTGGTTGATCCAAAATGTTTGTTCAATGATAAAAAAATGCATGAACGAAAACCTGATAGAAAAAACTTTCAATCAACAGCAAAGTTCATATCGATTTGCTGTTTGTAAATCGCACATGCTTCAAGGGAAAGTTGAGTTCTGTTTTTAGACCGCAAATGCCTTCAAAGTGCATGGTTATTGCTCTTATTTTTATCTATGACATTTATAGTGCCCTTTTAGAACCTAAAATTGCTATGAAGGTAATTTTAGACCTCAAAATGTGTGAAATTTAGCCAATAGGATCATACCAAGTCAGCTCCACTTTTAAAAAAACATGGTGACCGTTAATTAATTATTTAATTAAAAATAACAATACATGAGCCGGCTAATTGTGAGTAATATAAGCAACACGAAAATGCCAATAAAAAAGCCAACATCAGCATTGGCTGACATACGACGTAAAAGGCGTTACTTCGTTTTTTTCAACGTTTTTTTTTAATTTGTCAAAATGTCTAATAATTGTGGTGGTACACAAGTATTAGAAATTGTTATATTTCAGCCGTCTCTGAACTGATTTTGATCAAACAAAGATGATTTTGTCATTTAAATATTATGTTCATTCAAATTTGACACTCAGTTTTTCATTATCTCACAAAAAATTATTTTGTCTAGCGCCCTCTGCAACAGAACTCAACTATCCCTTTAATTACTTTAAAGCTTGGAATAAAATAGAATGACAATACTTCTGTTTATAATTCATATAAAAATGTATTATTTTACTTTAAGCACACATTTTCAAACTTTGCTCCTTTGCCTGGTTTGCTGTTGGTAGTTTCAGTTGTGGCAGGTTTTGTTTCCCTCAAAAATGGATTCTCAATGAAACCTGTACTAAAGAAACCTGTACTTAAAGACCATCTGCCTTTAAAAACTACTTTTCTTGTCTCTCTTGGGTGGTTTTTATAGACAGGTTCACTGAATATATCTCTTGTTATCTTTAGACTGGTATAAAAACCCCATTACTTGGTTTCTTGTGCAGTATTTTTGTTTTATTTAGGATGACTGCTTTTTCCACAAACTGGTGCATTATTGTTATTCTGTCCCAGAAATGTCACAAGTGATCAGTCTCAAAATATGATGGAAACCATATCACCCGTGTCAGATAATAGCCTGTGGAGACTGCACTGTTATTACACTGTTATTACACTGCAGTGTTATGAACAAAGTTTGTCTGGAAGTGGCGTGTTGTGTGTATCATAGCTCTGTGTGTCTTAATATATACTCCACCAACATCTAGGCCCCATAACACGAAGCTTAGCAATTGATCGTGCAACAGCTTTTTGCGAGTGATTGCATTGATAACGATGTGCATTCAGTCAGTCACTCAGAAATCAATTGTATAATTGATTGCTATACAAATAATCCATGCTTGAGAGTGTATTGGTGAATATGCACTGCACGTAGGTTAAGTCTCAGTAGATAATGAACAAGACAGGTCAAATTCATTGTCCATCTCATTGTGACTTAACCAAGTGCAGTGCATATCGCTAAAAACATGTATCAATTGTTTTTTTTAATAAGATCGGTCTACAATAAGAGTATAAAGTCGAAAAATCAGTGGTTGTTGTCACCAGAATGCAATCCCGCGCATATGTATAAAAATGAATGCTCGCATACATGATCTATTATTACGCTTCTCATTAACTTCATTCTTAAACCCATTTTATGATAAGCTTTGTGTTATGCTGCCCTAATCCTGCTTTTACCCCATGCAATATCACCATTTTCTAAACTACCTCCCCAATCCTCTCACCCTGCCTCCCCAACCCTCTCATTTTTATTGAGGTAACATCGGTGATATACATATACCTCAGTCACACTGCAAACCGACTCCAAGCTCTCTGACTCAACACCAACCAATCCTTAGCCATTCATTCAGTGTGTTAGTATAGTGTAGGCCATGTCGGTGTGGCTGGGGTCTTGTACATTCACAAGTGAACCGACTCCATGCTCTCTGACTCAACACCAACCAATCCTTAGCTATTCATTCAGTGTGTTAGTATAGTGTAGGCCATGTCGGTGTGGCTGGGGTCTTGTACATTCACAAGTGAACCGACTCTAAGCTCTCTGACTCAACACCAACCAATCCTTAGCCATTCATTCAGGGTGTTAGTATAATGTAGGTCATGTGGGTGTGACTGGAGTATTGATTAATGTGTATCTTGTACATTCAAAAGTGTCAGTTTTGTTTTGCAGTGTGTCCTTTGCTGTGTTGTTGCCCTCACAGATTGTAAACCCTTCTTGCAGCAATTGTGAAGATAGCTTTAGTACAGATTAAATTTGAACTGAGAGCCAGGTCTTACATCCCTTACAAAGAGTTGTGATGGATCCTAATAGAATTTAGGTCCCCTTTCAACCACAACTGTTATTGCATAATCCATTGTTTGTGTGATTTGTGATTAATCCAATTTCAACTCTTTGTTGTACAAGACAAGGGCATCTTTGTAGACAAGTATGCAACCAGCTTAGTAGCTTAGACCAAAGCTAAAGGGCAAGCTAGACATTCTCTGCTCCATCTGTATGTGTGTTCTTTTCTTAGTCTGTTAAAAGCTTTTGCTATTGTCTGATTGTAAAACTTGTACAGAATTGGATGACTGTGATCACTTTTCAGAGGGTTGTCCTCAGCCTTAGTTTCCAAATATTCTACTATTTTACTTATGATTTGTCACATGTGCTAGTATCATACATGTAGCTCTTCAAAGTGTTACAATGTTATATTATGAAGTAATTATGAGCTCAATATCCATAATTCTTCTTCTTATAAACTTCACAAAGTATCTTATGAAATTAAGAAATCATCATGAAAGTATCGTGATCTCAGTGTTGCTAATACAGGGGCTGTAGTGTTAGGTGACATTCCAGAATTATATCATTTTTTTAAATTGCCCTTTGAAACCTTATTAGAAATCAAACAGATAAGTTTGTTCCAAAACTTCTAAACGGGCAGTCAAGTTTGTTTTGATCAAGCATTGAGATGTATGTAATACAGGCTCTTCTTTCCAATAAAAAGTTGTTTACCCCCCACCCCCTCAAAAAAAATGTGTCTTGATGTATTTCAATTAATTTGCTCATATTCTATTCAAAAGCACGATACTTCTTATTCTTTAGTGACATTGTTCTTGTCTGGTCTTATTTGTCTGTATGATGCCTTATACTTGGGTTTCAGTCTAATATTCATATTCCTGATTATGAAGTACTCATAGTTGTAGTACATTGTCACTTGTCAGTGGTACGGTAATTGGTATCTTCTGCACTACTTGACTCACTCCCCCCATTCTTTTGTTTTCTTTCTGGACGTAGCTTCAGAAGGAGGTTGAGGTGTTCTCAGACCGAGCAGAGTGTGCGAATGCAGACCTCAAGGCAGACATGGAAAGATGGCATCATAATAGAAGGAAAGATATGAAAGATATGCTGAGCGGTATGGCTTACCAGCAGATCATGTCTAATACAGGGGTGAGTCTAATAATCATTTTACTGAGCGGTATGGCTTACCAGCAGATCATGTCTAGCACAGGGGTGAGTCTAATAATCATCTTACTGAGCGGTATGGCTTACCAGCAGATCATGTCTAACACAGGGGTGAGTCTAATAATCATTTTACTGAGCGGTATGGCTTACTAGCAGATCATGTCTAATATAGGGGTGAGTCTAATAATCATCTTACTGAGGGGTATGGCTTACCAGCAGATCATGTCTAACACAGGGGTGAGTCTAATAATCATTTTACTGAGCGGTATGGCTTACCAGCAGATCATGTCTAGCACAGGGGTGAGTCTAATAATCATCTTACTGAGCGGTATGGCTTACCAGCAGATCATGTCTAACACAGGGGTGAGTCTAATAATCATTTTACTGAGCGGTATGGCTTACCAGCAGATCATGTCTAACACAGGGGTGAGTCTAATAATCATCTTACTGAGCGGTATGGCTTACCAGCAGATCATGTCTAACACAGGGGTGAGTCTAATAATCATCTTACTGAGCGGTATGGCTTACCAGCAGATCATGTCTAATACAGGGGTGAGTCTAATAATCATCTTACTGAGGGGTATGGCTTACCAGCAGATCATGTCTAACACAGGGGTGAGTCTAATAATCATTTTACTGAGCAGTATGGCTTACCAGCAGATCATGTCTAACACAGGGGTGAGTCTAATAATCATCTTACTGAGCGGTATGGCTTACCAGCAGATCATGTCTAACACAGGGGTGAGTCTAATAATCATTTTACTGAGCGGTATGGCTCACCAGCAGATCATGTCTAACACAGGGGTGAGTCTAATAATCATCTTACTGAGCGGTATGGCTTACCAGCAGATCATGTCTAACACAGGGGTGAGTCTAATAATCATCTTACTGAGCGGTATGGCTTACCAGCAGATCATGTCTAATACAGGGGTGAGTCTAATAATCATCTTACTGAGGGGTATGGCTTACCAGCAGATCATGTCTAATACAGGGGTGAGTCTAATAATCATCTTACTGAGCGGTATGGATTACCAGCAGATCATGTCTAACACAGGGGTGAGTCTAATAATCATCTTACTGAGCGGTATGGATTACCAGCAGATCATGTCTAACACAGGGGTGAGTCTAATAATCATTTTACTGAGCGGTATGGCTTACCAGCAGATCATGTCTAACACAGGGGTGAGTCTAATAATCATCTTACTGAGCGGTATGGCTTACCAGCAGATCATGTCTAACACAGGGGTGAGTCTAATAATCATTTTACTGAGCGGTATGGCTTACCAGCAAATCATGTCTAACACAGGAGTGCGTCTTATAATCATGTGACTGAGCGGTATGGCTGAACAAAAGATCATGTGAGTCTCCAGGAATAGAAACTATGATGGAAAGATAGCAGATGATTATATCAGAAACTTGCAGAAAAGGATTGCAGTATTTATTATGTTGTTATCACAATAGTCTTCTTTATAGCTCTCATAACCATCACACATGGTCCTTTTATTTGTCCAATATTTCCTCAGCCATAGCTGATTGTGTACTTGTGATCCTATTCTAATTCTGATTCCCCTTGCCTTGTTGAACATAGATACTTCAAGCCTGGGAAGATGTGATCAGCAGCTTACGGGATGAAGCAGGTTTCCTACATGGAGAGGACCCCTCCCCCATGCACAGTACAACAGACCCGTCCCTCACCGGCGCTACGTCCCCCACCCTCACATCTTCATCTGGTGCTGAGAGGGGAGGAGCAAAGAACTCCAAGCCAGAAGGGTTTCTTGACATCAATAATGGACTAGAGGATGAGGATGAGGAGGAGGAGCTTAATGCCTCGTAATTGATACTCCCTCGCCTGGTCCGTCATAGGTCAGTGTCGTGGAATGCAGGTGGTGGTTTTTTAAGGGATCAATCTGCAGGAGCAGAATGGAGAGACAACATAAGCCATTGATTAGTTCATCTGCTTATGGACAGTAAAGTACTGTAATAGAGTTCTCCTACAGCTTGGACAACAAACTACCTTGTGATTTGCAAGACAGGCCCATCTCATTCATCAGACTTCATTGTTATAGAAAACTGATTCACTTCATTAATAAATCTGTCAGAGCAGAGATAAGGAAAGAATCTTATCAATGGATTAGTTCCTTCTCATTGTACTTCAAATAGAGTTTTAGAGTAATGGGCAAGTAGGAGGTATTTGGTCCTTTGATATCCTATACTTAACCAGGTATTGTGGAATTCTGAACAGAAATGAACCTCAAATTTGGTCCGATAGTAGGACGATTACAAAATAGCTTGACCTGATAGAGTTGACCTAAGGTGTGCGAGGATGTGAGCTTTGACTACTAGTTCTTGATTTGATTTTCAAGACTGTTCCAATCAGCATGGGAAGGTGCCTGGGTATTCTCTTCTCATTATCAAAGTAAAGGTCTATATGCTGACATCACGTCCAGGACAATGTATTTCAGATGAAGCATTTCTGACCCCAAAGCTAGAAACCAGCGTTAGGTTTCAAAATAGGATGAGAGAGCTAGTGTTTGCAGTGGTTGATATCTTGGAATAAATGGCATTGATCGTTCTTTGTATAAATTGACAAGTATCATTGGAAAGCTCAGAATATGTAATTTCAAGATAAATATAATCAATAAATTGAATCTATGAGACTTAACGGTGGCTTTGAGCTTTGGGTCAAATAGGAGATCAGAAATGACCATGATGGAAGTCATCAATGTACCTTGCTGGATTAAGGAAAGTGTTAATCTTAATCTCTTTAATTGATTATTCTAATCTCTATTTGAAGAGAAGGTTTTTAGACTTGTGAAGTCAGCTTCTGATGATCAGTCCAGCAGACAGAATTCAAGTTAAATCACACACAACATGGACCAACTTTGTATTTATTACCTCTGATCACTTTATCACTATTTGAATACTCTTTCCTCTTTTTATTTATAGTCATTGTGTCGTTTAAGACTTATATTTGATGATACTGCTGATAATGACAGAATTTAGCAAACCTCAGTGAAGTCCCATACTATAACCGGTATACTATACGATCCTCCTGCAAAACGATTTTGGACAGTGGTGCAAGTAATAGAAATCACATTGGTTTTCAGAAAGAAATCTGTATTTTCGATTTAATGATGCCTCACGTGTCAGCCAGATTTGTTTCCTTTTTCCGGATAGCCATTCCTTGCACTTGATCACATAGTTCTGAAAATTTAAATGCGTATACCTCTTTTTCTCAAAGTGTGAGTGTTCTGAGGGAAAACCTAATTAAGTAACACAAGTGACATTCCTTTCCTTTTCTATTCACTGGGTTGCGTATAATGTTCTAACAACTATTTTACATTTTATTTTTACATTTCATTTCTATCTCATAGAATTGTTCTGCTGTTTTGAAATAGTCTTTTGGTTTCTTTATAGATTTGCTAATAGATGTAGATGATGTTATTTGTTTGTTTGTTTTGGTATCCTCACAATCGTTGTGATTTGGAAAGGGTGGAATATTTCTTGCCCCGCGTAGTATCCATATTGACGCACTGTTTAGATGTGCTTTGCATTCTCTAGGAAGTTCAAAGAGAAGGTATTTCGGTATGTACACTGTAGTTACTTCTATCTATTTTATTGTTTTCGAATTTTCAATGTGAGTCTATCACATTTCCATGAAACTGTTCATCCTTAAAAAAGAGTTTACATCTATTTTCTCTATGTTTTTGATGTTTACACCCACATGATTCTGCCCTAAACTGATGAATTCAAAGTTTGAGAAATCAATGTTCAGCCACATAAATGTGGAAAGAAAATGTGAGACTCTGTGCGATGAAATGTGTGTGTACTGTGTACAAATGTAAAAAGCAGAGATGATATATATATATATACTAGATCCAGTACTAGAGTTATGTAGTTAGATTCATACCCTCATTTTAGTTGCTGGTGCTTGTGAAGTGGAAAATTGAGAAAAGAGAATGAAGTTTGTGAGATGTTGAAGCAATTGATTGGTTTGATAATTGCCTGTTTGATTCAGTTCTGGTTCCTTGCCGTTGATGGCTTGGATAATTTTCAATTTCAATTTCAATTTATTTTCCATCTTTAAAAAAAAAGAACAAATATAACATAGTATTGACACATTGTATTAAAATAACAATATAAACATAAACATGGAGGGATACCCTTGATAAGCAGGTTGCTTGTAAGCAGGGCCCCGGTATACAATATAAGATTTATAACTTTGTTACAGAAATATCTAAACATTGGCGAAAATTTAATTTATTTAATTTATTCTTATTCGTGCAAAATATGTACCGCATATGTTTGAGTGAAGTATAATGAAGGTGAAGGATTAGGATATGTGACCAAGGTATCAACTGTTTGGTCTGGAAAGAAAATTTTGATAAATGGTCCTAAAAAGACAATCATTTTCAGTTTGCATAGAGTAGTTACTTGAATTTAAACATGTTGTATAAGCCTGATGTCAATCAGGAAATAACTTTTTATTTGGCTTTCAATTTCAACGAAGAAAATTAAACCATTGACATGCTTGAGTGCTTGTAAAAATTGTAAACTTGTTTATTTAAGTATTTTTGTCAACAATGAGACATGGTTTTAATGTCTTGTGTTTGCTTTTTGATTATCTGACTGCCAGGGAACAGAGCTTTAAAGGAATATAATTTGTTGTTGACACCTACGTGTAACCAATTCTACTCATCAAATATGAATATGCCACTAAACCTTGTGATGTATAAAGATTACACTCTAAGTGCCTGTGTCTTATTTTGATGAAGAAACACAGAAAATAGATTGAAATATCTAATTCTGCACCTTGTTAATCTATATAGAAAAGTGTACACGTTAACATCTCATTGTGTCTATTTTAATGTTATATTTAGTTAGTTTGTTTTGAGTATAATAGCATATTTGTCAAGTGATATACTTGAAATATTTTGTATTTATCAGCATTTATATTTTGCTGCAAATGGTTAGCTAGTATGTGGAGATGTATATTTTGTATGTTATATACAATTATGGTTTTAAAGCCAGTTTTCAACAAATTATATTTTAAACAACTTGGGGATATGAAATTTGCTTTCTTACATAGGGTAATTCAAATAAATTAGAAAATATATAGAGTATGTGATTATACTTCAAAATTAATTATTTTCAAGGTTGGTAATGTATAATTGAAATAAAACTGCATTGGTAGGCACTGCTGTAGGGGTTAAATGTAATATTTTGAAATGATTTTATTAACTCAGCCATAGACGTCATGAGCTACAAGGTAAATTAGAAAAGAAACATACTCAATTACTTATCAGATGTATGGCCTATTGAAAATCATTGTAATATTGCTTTGAATTTTGTGTGGTATATCTTAGAATTTAAGAGTACATTTATGTACAATTATACAGTAAGAGAAAATATCTAAAAGTGTTGACTGTTCATAAAGAACACAACGGAGGGAAATGTAACAGATACACTTTTGAGACAAAGAACCTCCTGCTCAATACTAATAGATTGCATGCGGTTCAAGAGTAAACACTGATCTGAGAATTCCTTGTTACTGTCATAATGATTGATCACTGAAATTTGAAGTTACTGCCCGTTTAAGAAAGCACTCTTCATAGTGACCTCTTCCCCTATCCTGTCCAATATAACAAATTTATTAACACCAAATTCAATTGTATCATTTCGGAAGCTTATCACTGATTGTAATTCTTTCTGATGACAAGTTTTATGAGGTAGGGCTTAAGTTTGTTACGCTGGATTGTCACTTTGTTGACGTGCACCAAGGTTCATTCTAAAGGCAATTTATATCAAGGATTGCTCAATAATTACATTATTGTGTTGTATTTTTATGATGTTATACCTCCTAAGACTTCATCATGTATTTATCCATAATTATTTTATGTTCTTTACTTCTTTCACTTTTTGAAACACTGATCTCTTTTCATTTACTTTCCTATATTTCAAAATTTAACTTCAAAGTAGATTAGTCTCTGTAGAAGCTTTCACCTATCAGGGAAGTCTCATAAAGTTCCTTATTTTCGTCTCTTGTTTTTTCTTTTTTCTTTGAAAAAGAGCAATTTGGGTGCGTGTACGCATTTTGTCAATTCATTACAAGACCTTGCAATCTTGGTTTTAGGGACGAACTTTGATATGACATAGATATGTGCCACAAAGTATTTCACATATCCTATTCTGTTCAGAGGTTTTGTGTATTTGACAAAATCATTTTTATAGGTATTTTGTAATTGTGTATGATATTTGATTTCTTCGAGTTGTTCATAATGTGCAATGATATGTAAATCTGGGTAAATAAATATTTACAGGATTATTGTAATTTTAGTTTGATTGTAGTTTATTTTACCAGTATCTAAACAAATTTGTGTTTGATAATAGAAACAGTCACAACGATGATGATGCAGGTGATAGAGATTATGATGACGATGGTGGTGGTGATGGTGATAATGATGATGGTAATGGTGATGGTGGGGGTGGTCAGTGGTGGATCTATGGGGGGGGGGGGGCCGGGAGCCCCTCCCCTGGCCCCCCCCAAACGGGTAAATCTAAAGTTTTTTGAAGAAGAAATGGACAGCACCCTCCCCTTGGCTCAAAATTGGTGGGGGGGGGTTTGTTGAGTTTTAAAAAATGGTGCTTACTTCCCCATCCCCCCCTCCTCCCGCATCGTTTAGCAACAAAAAAAATAAAAAAAATAGTGCTCTTACCCAGATAATAGAGATAATAGTAGTGAGCAGGGGCGGCCGAGCGACTTCCAAAGTGGGGGGGCACCAACAAAAAAGGGCACTTTCTGGAAAAAAGGAGCACCTACAGTGGGAAATCTCAAAGCGAAAATATACCATTTTTTAGACATTGGTATATACCCCTACATGTACATTGTGATTACATTATCAGAGATGAATTCAATATTTGTTTCTCTTCATACATCATACAAGATATCGCTTAAGCATCATACTTTACAGTTGGGTGTGATGTCTGAATATGCATTTACGAGCGAGCGAAGCGAGCGAGAAAAATGTTAAAGATCTGAGAGGTCGCAGTGCGAAAAATTACATCTTTTAAAGAGGAAAAAAGCCAATCGTGATGGGGTTTATAAGCACATTTTCATAACGGAAGACTGAAAAGACCTTTGATAAGTAACATAATTATATCATCTTTAAATGCGAGCGAGCGCATCGAGCAAACTTTGGGGGAAATTGCTCTTAGTTGCTTTAAATAAGGGACACGTTTAATGATGACATGAAAAGGGGACAATTATCGAAAGGGATAAGAAACTTATTAGAATAGAAAAGGAGCACGTGTCAAAGTACAAAGGATAATTATAAGAGGTGAAATGAGGCATTTTTTCACCTGAAAAGAGGCACTCACCAGTGATGAAAAAGAGGCGTTTACGAAAATGGGAAATAGGCATTTGTTGACGGAAAAGGGGCATCCATCAGATTTTGATAGGGGCATTTATAAGAGGTGAAAAGGAGATAGGTCCCTTATTAGAAAGTAAAAGGGGCACGTATCATTATTAAAAGGGGAATTATCAGAGGTGAAAAGAGGCACTGACCAGATATGAAAAGGGGCACTTATGAACATGTAAAAGGGGCACTTATAATAAAGGAAAATGTGCATTTGTTGAATGAAAAAGGGCACCGTTCAGATTGTTAAAAGGGGCAGTAATGCTTAGGGGAAGGAGCTCTGTCTTCTTTATGGGGGCACTTATCATAAGGAAAAGGGGCACTTATTAGAAAGGGAAAGGGGTAGTTATGAGAGGGGGAAGGAGCTCTCTCTTTTTAATGGGGGCACTTATCATAAGAAAAAGGGGCACTTATTAGAAAATAAAAGGGGCACATGTTAAAATGAAAGGTGTGCTCATCCGAGTTTAAAAAAGGGGTAGTTATTTAAAGGAGAAGGGGCACTTCTTACAAAGGAAAAAAGGGGCAGTTGTCAAAGTAAAAGGAGCACTTCTCAGTTTTGAATAGGGCAATTATCAGAGGTGAAGAGGGCAATTATCAAAAGTGAAAAGGGGCGCTTCTCGCACCTGAAAAGAGGCACTTATTCAAGATAATTTCAAGATTCATGAGAATGGAAAATGGACACTTATTGCAAAGGAAAATGGGAACATGTCGAAGGAAAAGGGGCACGTGTCAAAAATAAAAAGGGCACTCGTCAGAGGTGAAAAGGGGGAAGGAGCACTTTTATTAAGTAATAGGGGCACTTTTCAAAGTAAGAAGGGCACTTTTCCTATGTAAAAGGGGCACTTCTTACTAAATAAAAGGGCAATTTTCCTATGTAAAAAGGGGCACTTTTGGGGTATCTGAAAAAGTGGGGGGGGGGGGCACTGTGCCCCCTGCCCCCCCCCCCCGGGAGGGCCGCCTCTGGTAGTGAGACAGAGTGGTCTCCCAGGTACTCCTTTTTCCTATTTTTTACAAGTTTTCATTTTAGTCCACGATATTGTCTTGCCAATATCTTTTTGAATATCTTTTTTAGAATAAAAAATATAAAACAAAATTAGATTTCTATCATCTCTCTCTAGTTGTAACAGAAACAAGTAACTCTCTGAATAATTAGGAAGATTATCAAAATGCCATTTTTTTTTAATAACTAAATTTACCGTGACCTTTCAGACTCGATGACCACAGACATGCAGTATTGACATTAAGAAAATACTTGGATATTAGCAGTGAGTTAGACTAGCCTAGTGGCCAGGCGATCGCTTCGTAATGATAACTGGAAGTTATCGGGTTCATTACCCAGGCAGTGCGTGATCTTTTTTCCTTCTTTTTTTGTCTTCATCTCGCCAAAGTAGACTAATTGATTGATCGATAGAAACGTATTACATGAAGTCCAAAAAGGACAGCTATACTGGTTTATCCATCAAACATAATTGCATTGAATACTTTTTCAGTCCGAACGCTTATACGGGATGGTATAAAGTTTGGGGAGATATAGTATGAGTGAGAGCATCAGTGATAAAGATTTATGTGATATATGCAGAAAGACAGAGAAAGAGAGCGAGAGAGAAAGAGAGAGAGAGAGAGAGAGAGAGAAAGAGAGAGAGAGAGAGAGAGAGAGAGAGAGAGAGGGGTGTGTGTGTGTGTGGGGGGGGGGGGGGATTCACAGAGATATTCTGGCGGGAAAGCCCGATATTTAATTTTCCCCATGCAGTTCGGCCAGTTATAATTATTGTTGTTGAAGATGTCAGGAAAAGGGCACTAAAGCATATAAGTCACTTCGTCTCTCTCTCTCTCCCTCTCTCTCTATTTCTCTCTCCCTCTCTCTTCCCCTCTCTCCGATCGCGAGCTTTGTTTTCATGCTTCAAGGCCCGTTTAAACAATCTCATTATGAAGTGGTCATGCATGGATATATTTCCCGTTACATTGCCATGAGTACAATAATGCTAAATGTACTACTCACGCGGATGTAGTATCGAAAATAATATCGCTAGTCATTGCGAGGCAAACGAATAACACTAGGGATATTATTTTCAATGAGATTACACTTTGTCATAAATACGTGTAGCGCTCGTTTCTCGTTTAGTCCGCTCATAATCAGATAGATAGTGTAGGCTTAATTTAATTGTGTCGCCTTGCGATGTGTTAAACTGGCCCGGCAGTAGGTCAACCCGTAACTTTCTGATTATTAGATCTAGCAAAATCAATATTCTCTCTTTATTTTATGAGTATCAAGGGCCACAATTTGTCTTAGAGCTCAAAACCACTTTGTTAATAACCGATTCGACATGGATTGTTTACCCTCGTGTTTCAGAGTGCAGCTCCACGAGTAGACCTAGAACATTTACTGCTAGCCTTTATACACATACCGGTGAGTTTTGTGTTTTGATTCATAGTATACTAGTATATATATACCAGTCGGTTTGCATGATTTACCATTACTAGGAGCATTATATTTTGTTAATTGCTATTAAAGTCTCAGCTCGAAACATGAATATCTTATGAAATAGAAAACATGAACATGAAAACAGTCATGAGCATGTATATAATGATCTCCTTCGATGGTAAAGGTAGCATCATCATAGGTCTCGATAAGAGTGTTAATGTCAGTTTCCTATAAGACTTCTGATGATGGTGATCATATTCTATTTTCCCATTTCAATAAAGGTCAAAGGCCTGTAATTATACGAGCTTTGTTTTGAAGGAACTATCCAAACTTGAAGGCAAGGGGCTGTTTAAAAAGAGGAAAGGAACTTCGAGAGAGGTAGCGAGAGAGAAAAGGTGAAGGCTGGAGTGATAGGAGGGGTAGAGATAGTACGACCATGGATCTATCATCATATAGTGGTGATGATTGGGTAGATCATTCAGTACATGGCAGTGTCTTCTACGATGGAGTGAAGTTCAACGCCCTGGTCATCCCGTCTAGCCTCGAGGCTTTGAAGACATTCGATGTCAGGGAGGATGATATCTGGATTAATACCTACTCAAAGTCAGGTGAGTATAATCCAACACAAGTATTCAATAAAGTGAATGCTATCGAAAATACTGTGGAGAAATCAACCTTAGAGTATATCAATAGCCTTGCCTAACTCCGTCAAAATGTGCGTACATTACAAACAATAAAGTATTACGCAATGCGACCTAAAGCCATGCTTTCTATATAGGCAAACAGTTGATAGGGTATCGAAATTGTCCTGACTAGATTTGATATGAGTCTTTGCAAATCGTGCTATATAATTATGGCTTTGTTAAAAGGTACTATGTCCCGTTTGCAGCCAACCTCAAATTCTGTAGAACTTTGCAGGAATTATGAATATGTCATGTATGTCCTATCTGTGAAATCTAAACGTTAGCAGTGTCCTTATATTCAAATTATGCAAGAAAACCCGTTTACTTGCTAGACTTCACTGTCAGACACTATTGTCAGTATTGAGTGACTGACTGGCTTTTTCTTCTTCTTTGGTAATAACATACATAAAATGAGCTGTAAAGGATTTGTCTACTACAATAACACACTTCTTATAATGGCCAAAATTAAACTGATTGAATCTTTGCGCAGCATAACACGTACGACCATGCGGTACAATGGTCTGAAAATCAAGACTATTACTTATTGGCTCTATAGCTCCTAAGTCGATTTAACAACTAATAGTCATTATTTTCCCACTTAAAGACATTTTCAAGCCACATTCTTTTAAGGGGAGTTCTAAATTAGTATTATCTTTCAAATGCCATTGGAGTTTAACCTTTTCAATTTTTTGGCCTGCAAAAGGAACAAGTACCTTTAAAATGTGCGTACATTACAAACCATAAAGTATTACGTAATCCAAATGATCAGTTGATCGTGCTATATTATGTTTTTGTTAACAACGTATATAAGCATAATCGAACCCTGATATATTTGGATTTGGATGCCCCTGTGAATGTGCACTAGACAATTTAGCCCCTTAAACACTTCTGCTTTCAAGAAATTGAATAATCTAAAATTTACCGGTGCTCCCGGTAAATTTCAAATAATTCAAATAACGCCTTAGGCCATTCAATGGTAGCTGCGACCATGAAAATCTCAGAATATGCAGTTCTGAAACTGGAATAGCAGATCGGTCAATTGTAGTCAAGAAGCATTGTTTTAAAGCTAAGGTAATATCAGTCTTGGGAGGGAGCTATACAACATAAAGGATTTATTATTTACAATTTCATCACTTTAGATTCGATTTCAACCGCGACAACGATAATTAAATATTTGAAAATCGCATATGCTTCTAATATGTTCATTTGAACCATATTCATGACTCAATACCAAAACTTTGTATTACCTATAATGATGCATCTACAAACTTAACCACAGGAACTCACTGGGCATCAGAGATCGTTCATCTAATATTGAACAATGGTAATCCTGAGACGATCGACCGAACGACCACTCAAGGCAATATCGAGATGATCTACTTCGAGAAAGATTCTTACGATGAGGGAAAGACACGACATCTACCCTTCTATAAAATCATAGAAAGAGCTCCGTCACCTCGTATTATACAGACACATCTACCTGTTAAATATCTTCCACCCGGCATTGATAACAAGAAGGCTAAAGTAAGTATTAATCACTTAAATTCTTTTTAGAAGTGTTGTTTATTAAATCTAAAAACAGTTATGCAAACTATTTATCTGAGTATTTTCTTTTTAGATTGAATAAGATCTATCCAATATTTCTGTTTTTGTTTAGATGTTATTAGTTTTAATATAATGAAGCTGGATAAATAGATTTAAGTCAACCATTTAAAAACGACCAAAATAAATCGAATCATTTCAGCTACAAAACGCCCTGTTGATTAATCTTGTTTACCATAGTTATCTTGTTTACCATGTATACAATAGTTATTCATACTTATTCATTACATTCTCATTCATTGCTGTGATACTTTTGTGTGTTAGTGGTACCAGACACGATAAGCATTAAATGCTATTTTCCGGTCCCATTTATCCTTTCAATGTTAACCATTCACATTTGATTGTTATATTGATGTAATTTTTGTTTGGATAATAAACTTCAAAATCAAACCATAATAGAATAGGCATTCGTATATTCAATGTAACATTCTTAACTGTCTTATATTGGGCCGAAATAGAAAGATGTAATCATTGGGACTTGACTTTGTAATTTAAGGGAATTCCCCTATTATTTTTTATTAAGTTTTATAGATAATGATTTTGTGTCTTTAAAAATATCCTACCTGTGAGCGATAGCTTACCTTAATATTTATTGTGTATACTCCATATTTGTTTACAATTTTATATCCAGGTGATCTATGTTGCTCGGAACCCTAAAGATGTGATTACATCTCTCGGTCGATTCGTAGGAAATACTAAGATGGGTGATTTCATTAGGTGGCAAGGCGCTCTCAAGGAATTCATGGACGGAAGTATGAAACACGCGCACGCGCGCCCACGCCCACACACGTACATACATACCACATGCCCTAATCAAACGATTCATTCCCCGGTGGCATAAAATATGATGTTTTTCGGTATTTTTGATCACCTTCCACAAGGCTAACATAATAATGACAGGCTTTATTCCACTAATACTATATGGTTGTCCATAATCAACCACCACGATATCCCATTACTATTATATGGTATGCCGTATTCAACCACCATGATATCCCATTACCATTATATGGTAAGCCGTATTCAACCACCACGATATCCCATTACTATTATATGGTATGCCGTATTCAACCATCATGATGGTAAGCCGTATTCAACCACCACGATATCCCATTATCATTACGTAGTAAGCCGTATTCAACCACCACGATATCCCATTACTATTATATGGTATGCCGTATTCAACCACAGTGATATCCCGTTACCACTATGTTTAAGCCGTATTCAACCACCACGATATCCCATTACTATAATGGTGCTGTGAGGATAATACTATGAGACCTTCGTTCGTTCGTTCGTGCAAAGTATATCAGGGAGTACATCATCTAGATAGGAAGATCCTTATTAAGCTAACAGATTGTCTCATCATCGAGCTCACAAAGTCCGGAAGCGCCGTGGGGGGATTTGTAGATCGGACAGACATCAATGACATGATCCATAGATTGGATCTCTCCACAGGCGCAGTTTGGTGATGATTCAGCTCCAATTTTATGTAGGAAATATTGTGTACGGCCAACTCCAGTTCTGATACGGTTTAGGTTGATCAGTTAGAGAATGAATAAGATCTTTAATAGTTTACATAATTTAAGCAAAACAGATGAACCTCGTTAAGACATTTCAGTTGTCTAAACTTTAATGAATGCAGGTCACGCTAATGTTGCTTTCTTGGAAGTTTGAGAAAATTGTATAAAAGAGTATAAAAGAAAATGTCATCACAAACAAATCATAGCACAAAATGTTAAACGTATTATATGCATAACATATAATAAATTGTATGAAGAAAGTCGGTTTCAGATTTCGTAATGAAAAACAATTCAATATTTGACCAGGGAGGTGTTTTAACTCACATACCCTGATTTGACATGAACTTAATAGCGCCAATAGTGAAATTGAATAAATAGGCCATTTATAGAGAATTTTAATTTTTAGTTTTTATTTGTAACACGACTGCAACGGTACTACAGAATTCAGCCTCAGGCAAAGTCAATATTGCATTGGTTACCATCCACTGTAATGTGTAAACACTACACTGATCGATTGTCCGAATAGGATTTCCATAAATTAACAAAAGTCTATTGAAATAGCCCCTTCAGTTGATTTTTCGAAAGCCTTTGAGATTGTTTTTTATTTATTTATTTATTTATTTATTTCACATCTTTAAAAAGGGTAGCCCGATCAGCATGAGCTGGTTTTCATCAGGGCCCTTTACAACATACATGGTTCAATAATAATGTCAATCAAAACAACAATAAATGCACATTATAATATGAGAGATAATTCGGACATGCAATAAAAAGGCGATACAGTACATTTCATAGTATACGAAGTTCAAATTAAGATAAGGTATGCTATAGATATTTATAAAATTGTTGCGAATATTTCAATGTTAAAAAAAGTTTACCGTCACCATTGAGTAATTATAAAATGTATACAATTAAATACTTTCCCAGTTTATAATTAAAACTATTGTAAACAAACAACAACAAAAACCCACAATTAAAATATATATATATATATACATGTAGTTGACATTTGTACGCAATAACACATAGTATTAGGTTAAAGTTAAAACAAAGTATGGTATAAATATCAAAACAAATTATGCAATATATTTCAATGTTAAAAAAGTTTGCCGTCACCATTACGTTATACCATATATACTATTAATACTTTCCCATTTAATACTTTAAACTATTAATTATAAAAACAAATAGTTGACATATTATGCACATAAATATAATAACATGCATATGTTAGTATCATAATCAATTCATAACATGGTATTGCTTAAGTACATGAAATACAATTTCAAAGATTCCTTGATTGAGGTTTAAAAAAAAAAAAAAAAAACATCAATGATAATGTTGTTTAGCATATTGATAAAATAAGTAAGCAAGATTCATTATTGGTGTGTGCTAATTAAAATAAAATGTTAAAGGAGATTGCAGCATTCATATTGCACGGCAATGAACAAGAGCGTTCCAGACTCAGTGTGATAAATTGCTTTTGAATACGTTCAGATTGGGGGAGAACCTGGTTTCTATGGGTAGATTATTCCAGAGTGTTATTGCAGAGTTTACAAAGGAGCGCTTAAAGAATTCTGTATTGCACCTATTGGATTCCAGCTTAAGTTGATGGGAATTACGTGTCATGCGTTGTGCTACATCATCATGTAAAATAAATTTGTTTGCCAATAAGGCAGGTGCAAGATGGTGAACACATTTAAATGCCATAATCCCCATTGCTCTTGAATACAATGCCTCAAGTGTTGACCAATTAAGTTGTAATAAAACCTCGTGTGAAGGAGTTGACCACGAACATCCAGATATAATATATGCTGCTCGTTTATGTAATTTATTTATAGTTTTATAATTATGCAGGGATCTATTTGTCCACACAGTGCAGCAGTACATAGCATGAGGTAGAATATAGCCCCAGTATATCATACTCAGATAATGTTTATTGAACGTGCCTTTGAGTCTTCTTAGAATACCTAATTTCTGTTTCATTTGTAAAGCTACTTTTTCGACATGCTTCGAAAATAAGAGATTGCTGTCTACTATAACACCGAGGCATTTGTACTGTGTCACACATTCAATCGGTGTTGTCTTTATACGCACATTTAAATTATTTTCGTTTAGCGTCTGTAACTTTTGCTTCGACCCAATAACCATTACCTTTGTTTTAGTAGTATTCAATAGAAGTTTATTTTTTTGCGTCCACGAATACACTTCATCTAAAGCAAGATTTAGTTTCGTTTGGATCTCAGATAATGTTTTGCCTTGTACCGACATGGTCGCGTCATCTGCAAATAAAAACATGTCCGCACTATGAATACTAGTGGGCAAGTCATTAATAAATATCGAGAATAACAATGGCGCTAAGACAGAACCTTGGGGTACACCGTAATTAATTGTTCTCGTTGATGACTTTTTACCTTTAATAGACACAAACTGGCTCCTGCCTCCTAGATAGGACCGAAACCATTTTATGGCTCTATCCGTGCAACCAACGTTTTTTAACTTCATTAATAGAGTTGAGTGATTCACTGCATCGAATGCCTTCCTCATATCAATATACGCAACACCGTTTAAGTTGCCTTTGTCCACGTTTTGGGCCCATAAATCTACCATACAAAGCAGGGCAGTTTCGCATGAATGGTTGGGGCGGAAGCCAAACTGCCTTTCTGTTAATATTATTTACTCTTGTTTATTTTCTCTTCACTATCTCTGTTGCAGCAAGGAGTTATGGGTCATGGTTTGATCACGTGAAGATATCGTGGAATCTACGTCATCAAGAAAACAGATTCTTCATCAAATATGAAGACATGAAAAAGGTAATTAAATAATCAGTCTATAATAAACAGTGTTGAAAACAGTAGATTTCTATATACTACGTTGATATACATATACTTTTATAGTTGTAGAACTGTTTCATCCTCCATAAATGTACTCGTTACTTTGATTAGCGAAGACCAAATGAAATTAACATCAATTACCAAGAAGTTTTATTAGACTGTAAAGAAAATGTTGAAAAATAGAGATTTGCAAAATACTCATACCCTTGCTTTATATCATCCCTCTTTTATGATGCAACAAAATCAATATCCTTTCTCAAAATGATCAATTATACCCAAATATATTTGTTTTTTTGGTCATTATTTACTGGACAGAACCCATGGGACGCTATCGAATCTATTGCCAATTTTCTCGCACGCCCTCTCTCGGAGGATATCTTAGAGAAGATCGTAAAATACAGTTCGTTCAAAGAAATGAAGAAGACTTATACCAAGGTCGAGGAAGAGGGGAAAGTAGAACTCGTCAAAGCTATGGGGAAATACGCCTATATGAATAAAGGTATGCGTTTATCCAGAGGATAAAAGTGTGATATAAGGCAATTTGAGAAAGAACGAGATAGTGAAGGAGAGAAAGAGAGAGAGAGAGAGAGAGAGAGGGGGGGGGGAGAAATCGAGAGAGAAAAGCCACGAGAGAGAAAATAGATTGATCGAGATAGAGAGAAAGAGAAAGAGAGAGAGAGAGAGAGAGAGAGAGGGGAGGGGAGAGGGGAGAGAGAGGGGGAGGGGGTAATGGTAGAAAAATAAAGTCGTTTCGAATTGAAACATAATAAGTGAAATACTCGTAGCTGTCGTTTGAGACTATTATTTCAGTGACAGCTAAAAAAATCCTTTCACGGGAGGTTTATAATGGTTTATTTCTTCAATATTTTGATGATGTGATATTTTTTTGTTTTACACATCTATTTTGTGTATTTCCCAGGTGTAATCGCGAGCTGGAAGACCCGGTTCACAGTGAGCGAGAACGAAGAGTTCGACCGCGTCTATAAGGAGAAAATGGCTGACACCGACTTACAATTCGATTTTGAGTAGGCCTTTGGTCGTCAAAATAATCTCCTATTTTTATCATTATTCATGAGCATGGTACCTATTCTACATCAGACTCTGGTGAAAAAGCTTAAATTCGGAGTAGTCAAATTGGATATTGACTGTAAACTATCATGGAATACTCAAATTTATTATTTATGCTAACTGCTGTCTAGGAACTTAATTGTAATCGATAAGTTGAAATCGTTTTTTTCCATCTCATGTCTTTAGAATATTATATTCAACCCTGTTACTACCATATTTAAATTACGGGGTGCTAGCGTGGGGAAATTGTGTTAAAATTAAAATGGATTAGATTAACATGATCCAAAAGAGAGCAATAAGATTAATACATCTGGCTGATTTTCAGACACACATTAACGTTTTATTTCTTGCAAATCGTATTTTGAAAATATCTGATTTATAGTACACCATTTCCTCGGAATGTTCATGTATCAGCTAAGTAAAGATAATTTGCCCGATATATTCCATCCCATGTTCGCTATAAACAGCGTAATTCACTCTTATTCCACAAGACAAGGGGACAATTTTAATTTCTCCCCAATCCGGAAAGTGTTTGCCCTAAAAACAATCATTTGTACCGGACCCTCTTTTTGGAATGATTTGGATACAGAGGTTAATGAAGCACCAACCTTAAATTCCTTAAACGCAAACTTCGAGTTTACCTTTTAAATTCTTATGTCTAATGTAATATAGTGTTTGCCCTCCACAGACCTTATTACCTTTTTCCCCAAATACTTATCTTAATTAATGATGCATGTTCCGGTTATTAATGAATAAAAACAAATTACTTTGTTACATTTGCTATGTAATTTTCTCAGTGTACTATCTAATCTAATTCGCGTTTTCTTCATAGGCGACCTGTTAAACATTAAACACGGTCCAATTCTAAATTCTGGACTCTTCAAATTTTCATGTCACTCGGGAAACTGAGTAACATTTATCTTTCTGGTTTTTCTCCAGGTATACAATATAAGATTTATATCTTTGTTACAGAAATATCTAAACATTGGCGAAAATTTAATTTATTTAATTTATTCTCATTCGTGCAAAATATGTACCGCATATGTTTGAGTGAAGTATAATGAAGGTGAAGGATTAGGATATGTGACCATGGTAGTCTGTGATTATACTTCAAAATTAATTATTTTCAAGGTTGGTAATGTATAATTGAAATAAAACTGCATTGGTAGGCACTGCAGTAGGGGTTAAATGTAATATTTTGAAATGACTTTATTAACTCAGCCATAGACGTCATGAGCTACAAGGTAAATTAGAAAAGAAACAATGTCAATTACTTATAAGATGTATGGCCTATTGAAAATCATTGTAATATTGCTTTGACTTTTGTGTGGTATATCTTAGAATTTAAGAGTACATTTATGTACAATTATACAGTAAGAGAAAATATCTAAAAGTTTTGACTGTTCATAAAGTACACAACGGAGGGAAATGTAACAGATACACTTTTGAGACAAAGAACCTCCTGCTCAATACTAATAGATTGCATGCGGTTCAAGAGTAAACACTGATCTGAAAATTCCTTGTTACTGTCATAATGATTGATCACTGAAATTTGAAGTTACTGCCCGTTTAAGAAAGCACTCTTCATAGTGACCTCTTCCCTATCCTGTCCAATATAACAAATTTATTAACACCAAATTCAATTGTATCATTTCGGAAGCTTATCACTGATTGTAATTCTTTCTGATGACAAGTTTTATGAGGTAGGGCTTAAGTTTGTTACGCTGGATTGTCACTTTGTTGACGTGCACCAAGGTTCATTCTAAAGGCAATTTATATCAAGGATTGCTCAATAATTACATTATTGTGTTGTATTTTTATGATGTTATACCTCCTAAGACTTCATCATATATTTACCCATAATTATTTTATGTTCTTTACTTCTTTCACTTTTTGAAACACTGATCTCTTTTCATTTACTTTCCTATATTTCAAAATTTAACTTCAAAGTAGATTAGTCTCTGTAGAAGCTTTCACCTATCAGGGAAGTCTCATAAAGTTCCTTATTTTCGTCTCTTGTTTTTTCTTTTTTCTTTGAAAAAGAGCAATTTGGGTGCGTGTACGCATTTTGTCAAGTCATTACAAGACCTTGCAATCTTGGTTTTAGGGACGAACTTTGATATGACATAGATATGTGCCACATGTAAATCTGGGTAAATAAATATTTACAGGATTATTGTAATTTTAGTTTGATTGTAGTTTATTTTACCAGTATCTAAACAAATTTGTGTTTGATAATAGAAAAAGAGTAATACACTTTTAACAGTCATAACGATGATGATGCAGGTGATAGAGATTATGATGATGGTAATGATAATGGTGGTGGTGGTGATAATGATGATTGTGGTGGTGATGATGGTGGTGGTGATGATGATGATGGTGATGATAATGGTGGTGGTGGTGATGATGATGATTGTGGTGGTGATGATGATGGTGATGGTGATGATGATGATGGTGGTGATGATAATGATGATGATGATGATAATGGTGGTGGTGGTGATGATGATTGTGGTGGTGATGGTGATGATGGTGATGATAATGGTGGTGGTGGTGATGATAATGGTGGTGGTGGTGGTGACAGTGGCGGATCCAGGGGGGGGGGGGGGGGCCCATCCCCCCCCCTTGAGAAAAAAATCATGTAAAATCACGTGATTTTTACCTTTTTGGGGGGTTGGGCCCCCCCTGGCGCTCAAGGGGGGGGGGGGGGGGGGAGTGCAAATGAAAAAAATTTCGAGGACCAAAAAAAAAAAAATGTGCTCACTACCCCCCCCCCCCCCCCCTTGAGCGCCAGGGGGGGGGGGCCCAACCCCCCAAAAAGGGTCCAAAAAGGTCCCGGGTACCTTGTGCCGAGTTATCCCATTAACCTGTTATTCATGAATGAAGTACAATGCTCGGAATCCAGGATGCATTATTTGTTGCTATGTCGGGCAGGCCTGGGAAAATAGAATATGATCACCATCATCAGAAGTCTTTAGGGGTTACCTGTCTGCACAACTTGTAGCTACTTGCGCCCTCTATAACAAAGCCAATGCAAAGCGATGAATGTTGGTCCCCCACGGTCCCCTTTTTCTAATGTTGATTGAGAGCTGATTTTATTAAGAAAACCACCTGTCAGTGACCATGCAGGGAGGTCTAATCCCTCCTGGCCAAGTTAGTGCAGACAGGCTTTAATAGACCATTTTGTGTTCATAATTGTATGTCAGGCAGCAACGCAGTGATATACCACTTCATGTCAATTCCATTCCAAAAATAACTTACTTTCAATAGAAGCAGAATAGAAGCAAACAAACAAATCAAAAGAAGTTTGAGCAAAATCGAATAACTATTAAGAAAGATATGAATTTTTAATGACATGAAAAATCTTGAAAATCACAAGACAAATTGGGAACTCACTCATGCCTTTGTGACGTCATTGCGAAAAATGTGAATTTTGATAAACCATTGCGGATGAATTTCATACCATAATGGATTGTACTGTAAGGGGGTATTTCTCAATAAAATGGCTGAAATATCTGGACAGTTTAAAGATCTTATAGCGATGAAGAGAAATGTGTAAGCATTATGAAACTTGAGAATGAAAATATAATTGATCTCTTCTGTAAGTATATTTAAAAAAAAAATCATAAATACTGAGGCGAGTTTTAACATCCCACCCATTTTTTAAAATTTATTTTGTTACTTTGTTCAGAACATCAATATCGAAATGTCATATAATTATTTTGTTAGAATACTATTTTCACTGTATTATACAAGCTACAATTTTCATTGTTAATTTGTCAATACTCGAGAAACTATACCACTTGTTGATTTTCTTGTTTACATAATTGTTTTATATATATGTGTTATGAAATTTTCATGTATATGAATGAAGTTTACTATAAAAAAAAAATGATACGAATCATAATAACCCGGGCAAAGGCATGGGGAAATCAAGATTTGAAGGATAAAAAGGGAAATTAATGGGACAAAATATATAAAGCAATTGATAAATAGTGAGGCAAGACGTCACAAACTGAATTGAAAAATTGTGTAGTGATTTTAATTGTTCCATAAGTGTTCATACTTTGAAAAACAAACATAACTCCCTTATTAGTTATCAGATTTTACTCATTTTGTTTTGCTCTGTTTCTCTGCCCTCTCTCTCTCTCTCTCTCTTTCTCTCTCTCTCTCTCTCTCTTTCTCTCTCTCTTTCTCTCTCTCTCTCTCTCTATCTCTCTCTCTCTCTTCTCTCTCTCTCTCTCTCTCTTTCCCCTCTTTCCGACAGTGAGCATTGTTTCATGCTTCAAGGCCCGTTTAAAAAATCTCATTATGAAGAGTTCATGGATATCTCTATTTCCTGGTTACAATGAGAGTACACGTACTTTGTCATAAATAGGTGCAGCTGCAGATGTACACATATAAATTATATTTCCCCGTTTGTGGAGGCTAGAGTCCGCTCACTCTATCAGCTTGACATACACAGTGATTGTGTCGCCCTGCGATGTGTTATGGAAAGAGCCGATAATATACTGACCCGGTAGTTGGTCAACCCTTATCTTTCTGTTTGTTAGCAAAATCAATATTCTCTCTTTATTGTATGAGTATCAAGGGCCACAGCTCAAAACCACTTTGACATGGATTGTTTACCCTCGTGCTTCAGAGTGCAGCTCCACGAGTAGACCTGGAAACATTTACTGCTAGCCTGTATACACTATCATACCGGTGAGTTTTATGTTTTGATTCATAGTATATACTAGTCGGTTTAATTGCATGATTTACCATTACTAGGAGCATTATATTTTGTTAATTGCTATTTTAGCCTCAGCTCGAAACATGAATATCTTATGAAATAGAAAACATGAACATGAAAACATTCATGAGCATGTATATAATGATCTCCTTCGATGGTAAAGGTAGCATCAGCATAGGTCTCGATAAGAGTGTTAATGTCAGTTTCCTATAAATGTAACCCCTAAAGACTTCTGATGATGGTGATCATATTCTATTTTCCCATTTCAGTGTAGGTCGAAGAACTGTACGAGCTTTGTTTTGAAGGAACCATCCAAACTTGAAGGCAAGGGGCTATTTAAGGAAGAGGAAAGGAACTTGGAGAGAGCCTGGCTAGAGGGAAAAGGTGAAGGCTGGAGTGATAGGAGGGGTAGAGATAGTTCGACCATGGATCTATCATCATATAGTCGTGAAGATTGGGTAGATCATTCAGTACATGGCAGTGTTTTCTACGATGGAGTGAAGTTCAATGCCCTGGTCATCCCGTCTAGCCTCGAGGCTTTGAAGACATTCGATGTAAGGGAGGATGATATCTGGATTAATACCTACTCAAAGTCAGGTGAGTATAATCCAACACAAGTATTCAATAATTAGTGACTAATATCGAAAATACTCATGTCAAGAAATCAACATTAGAGTATAGCCTTGCCTAACTCCTTTAAAATGTGCGTACATTACAAACCATAAAGTATTACGTAATCCAAATGATTTCTGTATAGGCAAACAGTTGATCGGGTTTCGAAATTGCCCTGACCGTTCCGAGTCTTTGCAATCGTGCTATATTATGTTTTTGTTAACGACGTATATAAGCATAATCGAACCCTGATATATTTGGATGCCCTGTGGATGTGCACTAGACAATTTAGCCCCTAAAACACTTCTGCTTTCAAGAAATTGAATAATCTAAAATTTACTGATGCTCCCGGTAAATTTCAAATAATTCAAATAACGCCTTAGGCCATTCAATGGTAGCTGCGACCATGAAAATCTCAGAATATGCAGTTCTGAAACTGGAATAGCAGATCGGTCGATTGTAGTCAAGAAACATTGTTTTAAAGCTGAGGTAATATCAGTCTTGGGAGGGAGCTATACAACATAAAGGGTTTATTATTTACAATTTCATCACTTTAGACTCGATTTCAACCGCGACAACGATAATTGAACATTTGAAAATCGCATATGCTTCCAAATTCATGACCCCATACCAAAACTTTGTATTACCTATAATGATGCATCTACAAACTTAACCACAGGAACTCACTGGGCATCAGAGATCGTGCATCTAATATTGAACAATGGTAATCCTGAGACGATCGACCGTACGACCACGCAAGGCAACATCGAGATGATCTACTTCGAGAAAGATTCTTACGATGAGGGAAAGACACGACATCTACCCTTCTATAAGATCATAGAAAGAGCTACATCACCTCGTATTATACAGACACATCTACCTGTTAAATATCTTCCACCCGGCATTGATAACAAGAAGGCTAAAGTAAGTATTAATCACTTAAACTCTTTTTAGAAGTGGTGTTTATTAAAACTAGAAACAGTTATGCAAACTATTTATCTGAGTAGTTTTTTTTAGATTGAATAAGATCTATCAAATATTTCTGTTTTGTTTAGATGTTATTAGTTTTAATATAATGAAGCTCGATAAATTAATTTAAGTCAACCATTTAAAAACGACCAAAATAAATCGAATCATTTCAGCTACAAAACGCCTTGCTGATTAATCTTGTTTACCATAGTTATCTTGTTTACCATGTATACAATAGTTATTCATATTTATTCATTACATTCTCATTCATTGCTGTGATACTTTTGTGTGTTAGTGGTACCAGACACGATTAGCATTAAATGCTATTTTGTGGTCCCATTTATCCTTTCAATGTTAACCATTCACATTTGATTGTTATATTGATGTAATTTTTGTTTGGATAATAAACTTCAAACTCAAACTCAAACTCAAACCATATTAGAGTAGGCATTCGTATATTTAATGTAACATTCTTAACTGTCTTATACTGGTCCGAAATAGAAAGATGTAATCATTGGGACTTGACTTTGTAATCAAAGAGAATTCCCCTATGATTTTTTAAAATAGATAATGATTTTATGTCTTTAAAAATATCCTTCTTGTGAGTGATAGCTCCCCTTAATTATTTTTATACTCCATATTTGTTTACAATGTTATATCCAGGTGCTCTACGTTGCACGGAACCCTAAAGATGTGATTACATCTCTCGATCGATTCGTAGGAAATACTGAGATGGGTGATTTCATTAGATGGCAGGGTGCCCTCAAGGAATTCATGGACGGAAGTATGAAACACACACACACACACACACGCGCGCGCGCGTGCACACGTACATACACATACACACCACACCCACAAATAAAACGATTCATTCTCCGATGGCATAAAACATGATATTTCTGTATTTTTGATCACCTTCCACAAGGCTAACATAATAATGACAGGGCCTCTATTCCATTACCATTATATATAGGCCATAATATTCAACCACCACGATATCCTATTACCATTATATGGTAAGCCGTATTCATACATCGTGATATCCCATTACCATAATATGAGAATAATACCAAGAGACCTTGATTATCTCGTTCAATAGACTGTACAAGCCACATTATTATACGTATCAAATTTCATTAATGCTTCTTCCCTTCGTGCCTTAAGCAAAACAGATGAAATTCGTTAAGGCATTTCAGTTGTCCAAAATAATGAATGCAGGTCACGCTATTGTTGCATTCTTGGAAGTCTTGAGAAAACTGTTCGAAATGTTCATCGTATTATGCAAATTAGAAATGTATGATGAATGTCGGTTTTCATATCTCGCAATGAAAAAACAATACAATATTTGACATGAACTTAATATCGCCTATAGTGAAATTAAATAGTCAAAGTGAATAGGCCATTCATAAAGAATTTCAATTTAATAAATTAATGTTTAGGTTTTTTTTGTAACACGACTGCAAGAACTTCAGAATTCATCCTTAGGCAATGCCGATTGCATTGATCACCATCCACTGAAATATTTAAACACTACATTGATAGAAATTCGATTTTCCGAACAGGATTTCCATAAATTAACAAAAGTCTATTGAAATTGCCCCTTCAGTTTATTTTTCGAAAGCCTTTGCGATTGGGTATTTTCTCTTCACTATCTCTGTTGCAGCTAGGAATTATGGGTCATGGTTTGATCACGTGAAGACATCGTGGAATCTACGTCATCAAGAAAACAGATTCTTCATCAAATATGAAGACATGAAAAAGGTAATTAAATAATCAGTCTATAATAAACAGTGTTGAAAACAGTAGATTTTTTATATTACACTACGTTGATATACATACTTTTATAGTAAGTTGTAGAGCAGTTTCTTCCTCCATAAATGTACTCGTTAGTTTGATTACGTGAAGACCAAATGAAATTAACATCAATTACCAAGAAGGCTTATTAGACTGTAAAGAGCATGTTGAAAATAGAGATTTGCAAGATACTCATACCCCTGCTTAATATCATCCCTCTTTTATGATGCAACAAGATCAATATCCTTTCTCAAAATGACTAATTATACCCAAATATATTTACTTTGGGTCATTATTTACTTGGACAGAGCTCAAGGGACGCCATCGAATCTATTGCCGAATTTCTTGGGCGCCCTCTGTCGGAGGATACCGTAGAGAAGATCGTAAAACACAGTTCGTTCAATGAAATGAAGAAGACTTATAACAAGGTCGAGGAAGAGGGGAAAGTAGAACTCGTCAAAGCTATGGGGACATACTCCTACATGAATAAAGGTGGGCCTTTGCGTTTATTCAGATGATGGAAGTGTGATATAGGGCAATTTGAGAAAGAGCGAGAAAGGGAAGGAGATAGGGGAGAAAGAGAAATCGAGAGAGAAAAGAGAGAGAGAGAGAGAGAGAAAGAGAGAGGGAGGGAGAGAGAGAGAGAGAGAGAGAGAGAGAAAGGTGAGGGGGGGGGAGGGAGTGGTATGGTATGGTAGAAAAATAAAGTCGTTTGAAATCGAAACATGTTACATACTCGTAGCTGTCGTTGACTGTTATAGAATTCTTTCGCATGAGGTACAAAGTGGTTTATTTCATCAATATTTTGCTGATGTGATATTTTTTGTTTTACATTTCTATTTTTGTGTGTTTCCCAGGTGTAATCGCGAGCTGGAAGACCCGATTCACGGTGAGCGAGAACGAAGAGTTCGACCGCGTCTATAAGGAGAAAATGGCTGACACCGACTTACAATTCGATTTTGAGTAGGCCTCTGGGCAACAAAATAATGTTAATGTTAATGTTACAAATTACTTTGTTTCTAAACTTATTGAATGCGTATGGACGAATTACATTTGCTATGTGATTTTCTCAGTGTACTATCTAATCTAATTCACGTTTTCTTCATGGGCGGCCTGTTATATACGGTCCAATTCTAAATTCTGGACTCTTCAAATTTCATGTTACTCGGGAAACTGAGTAACATTTATCTTTCTGGTTTTCTCCAAGTAATCTAAATAAAGCTTGCCATTTCATGTAATTATATTCTTGAATAAATTACTGCATAGATACACTTGATGTTTCGTTCAACGGTGCTTTAATTGCTTACTGAAGTGCTCGGAAGACTACACATTTTGACAACGTGACTATAGGTATTGATGCTAATGCATTTGTATACAAATTTCCATATTCCATTGGGTTTAAATGCCCCCTGCTACGATGTTTCCATCTACAATGTCTATTTTTATCAGGATCCTATACTATACAAGCACTGCTTTTAAATAGGTTCCTTGCATTCTTTATTAATCTGCTCATACTAAATGTATATATAAATAATTTTTATTTTATATGTCTGTATTATGTTGTTGTAGAATGTGGAACAAATACAATTTGAACTTGAACGCTGTGATGGTATTACAATTATTTATTATCATTTTTGTGATTTGGTCCTCTTTAACTCGTGCCGTTAATAGCTAGGATACTAGTGATTTCACGCCGAAAAGCTGGTCTATACATATAAATATATATATTTTATGCAAATTTCGTTTAGTTTCTTTGCTTTCTTTGTTGTATAGATTATCTTTATACATTTATTAGCTTTTTTATGTGAATAAGAAATAAAAAACACAGAAAAGAGGTACGTTGCTTGATATTATGGGAGAGAGAAAGAGGTAGAGAGAGGAGAGAGAGAGAGAGAGAGAGAGAGAAAGATAGAGAGAAAGAGAGAGAGAGAGAGAAAGAGACAGATGGGGGGACGCTTAATCAAAACAAAAAAGAGGGAGAGATGGAGATAGAGAGGAGGGAGGTAGTTAAAGATGAAGTCGTCTACTTTCACAAAAGTCCATGGAGGGACTTTAAAAAAAAATTTTTTTTACAATTCGCTCAAATTATTATTATTATTATTATTATTTTGTTTTTGGACCGCCATTTTTGTTAGTTTTCGAGGGGCTGGTAAAAATCTCTCACTTTTTTTGGGAGGGGGGGGGGGCGTGCTGGCAAAATAGGCATTTGCGTGTGGATGCATCATAGATTCACTGAATGAAAGGAGACCTCATCCCAAGAAATAACTTTATTCATTCTAAGTGGTTTATTGTATTTTAGCCCATTAATCTACAAGATTTCACACCAAGGTGCACGAGAGAGGTACAAAGCAAGATATTCTTAGCATAATGTACAGTTTCTCAGCACGACATGGGCATCGACATTAATAACTTTTAAGTGAAAAATTTTGAGGTCAAACTCAGTGCATAGCTCGATATCCGATGGCTATTATTTGAAGTTCAAAGTGCAAAGCCGGGACGTAATAGCACATAATAAACGGTATAATACCGAGCATAATTTGTACAAGTAAATACCTACATGCCTTTCGTAATAACAGTGCATGTTTGAAATCAGTATAGGTTCATCGGATCACTACAACTTACAAGACTTACCAAGGTAATATCACTGTGTCTTTATCTTCTTTCTTGTTTCCAGTAATATTTGTTTATATTGATTTATAATAATAGTTATAATTATTCTGTGAATTTGCCTGTCGATATAGTATATGCTGGCAGCTGGCTGTGGTGATTTTAGAAGGAAAACATCGGTTCTAAAATGAAAAAGTTAGAGCTTTCAGTATTGCTATATTTGTTATCAATCTTACATATAGGCCTACAGGTTATATGTTACAGTTTAGATTGTATACTATATACGTAGTATAGATTAGTATGTTGTACTCTTTGTAAAATTAGTTGATACAATACTCATCATGTTTATACTCCGCTCTTTTCCCTGTATACATACGTAACATCACTAACATGTGCATGGGCGGATCCATGTAGCGATTATTCCTGCCCGGCCCCCCCCTAGCCCCCCCCCCCAAAAAAACGATAAAAAAATAGGATAATAACGTAAAGTTAACCTTTATAAAACAAAAAACAAAAGCGCCCCACCCCCCGCTTATTCACCGGCCGGCTGAGTCGGCACTAAATTTTGTATTAAGATTTGGCTACCCCACCCCCCCCCCCCCTTGACGCAGGCGCGGATCCACGGGGGGGGGGGGGGGGCTGACGGGTCAACAACAAAAAAGAATTAAAAAAAAAAGATTCTCACGAATTAGGTGAAAAAAATACGAAAATATTTGTATTTATATTCACCGGCTGACTGAGTCGGCGCAAAATATTTCCTGAAAAATTGGACCAAAAAAAAAAAAGCCTCCTCCCCCCCCCCCCCGCTTATTCACCGGTGGCTGAGTCGCAACTAATATTTTCACACGGATTGCCCCCCCCCCCCTCTTCCCGCCGGCTGGATCCGCCACTGAACATGTGTTATGGACCTTAATCTGCCTTGCGCCTTGTGTACAGCTGAGTCTGAAATAAAGTTCTGAATTGAAACCAATTTGGGTTCTTTCAACAATTATTAAAAAAAAATCTTATGAGGCAAACGTAGAAGCAATTTTTTGTTAATGTGCCTGTTATTTTAAATATTCTTTCTCCTTTTCTCTCTCCTCTATACATTTTGTCTTTTAATTCTTTCAGGTGCTTAGAAACATCGTATTAATTAAACGCTATTTAAACTTGGCGTTATACGTTTTTTTATTAATACTATTACTATTCCCTTCTTTTTATATATGTTAATCCGGATTGGGTGGCCAGTTGATTTGTTTTAACTTTTCATTTTGACTTGGTTTATTCAATAAAATTAATTTATCTTTGCAGTCATAACATTTGAATGGTATTATTTTGTCGTTGTAATGAGATATATTTTCATGAATATGTATAAGTGTTTTTTTGTAAATAATATACAATAATGATAATTAGTTAATAATTTTGGACTGGTGTAGATTACTGCACTTGAAAATAAAAAAATGGATTCTTCTAGGCTTCTTGCGAACATGGTACAGGCATGTTTACGCTTTGTCATCATTGTAAAGCTCAAACCCCGCTTCTTGTGAACAAAGTATATATAGGAAGATTATAAACAACACCCAAATGAGAACAGTCGTGTTTGCGATCAAAATGTGCACAATACTCTTATTTATAATAATGTACTTATTCTTTTTTTATTTTTTTTTATTTCAGGCTGTTTCGCATAACAACGGAATGCTATATAGAAAATACATGTGTCTGTAAAAGGAAACGACATACATTAGAACGAAATAAGAATTAATTAAGAAAGGAAAAAAACGAATTCTCTTTTGAAATTAATAGTATATAAAGATAAGAATCGAGAGATCTGAGAAAGTACGACCATGGATCTAACATCTTTTAGTCGTGATGATTGGATAGATCATTCAGTACATGGCAGTGTCTTCTACGATGGAATGAAGTTCAATGCCCTGGTCATCCCGTCTAGCATCGAGGCTTTGAAGACATTCGATGTCAGGGAGGATGATATCTGGATTAATACCTACTCAAAGTCAGGTGAGTAAAAACAAATTATTCTATAAACATGTACAGTCATAAATAAAAGTGTGTGATTACAAAAACCAAAAGCATATATGAACGGCAATGATCGACTCGCCATGTCTGACTCGACCAAGCATCAAATTGTATTACTTGTCATTATCAATATTCTCTTCTTATTTTTCTCCTTCTTCTTCTTCTCCTTCGTTTTCTTCTGCTTCTTCTTCTTCTTCTTCTTCTTCTTCTTCTTCTTCTTCTTCTTTTTCTTTTTCTTCTTCTTCTTCTTCTTCTTTTTCCTTTTCCTTATCCTTTCTTCGTTTAAATAAATTACTACTGTTATTATCAACATCATTATCATTATCTCCACCTCCACCGTCACCATTACCACCACAACCATTATCATCATCATCATCATCATCACCATCATCATCATCATCATCATCATCTTTACCATTATTATTGGCATTATTATTATTGTTTTGTGTGTGTGTGTTTCCAAGCAGAATTCAGTCAGTCTATATATTGCATTTAATAGCCTGTACACACGCTACTTGGTATGAGTCTCAAGTGTTCTATGTGGATATACACACAGGAACTCACTGGGCAACAGAGATCGTTCATCTAATATTGAACAATGGTAATCCTGATACGATCGACCGTACGACCACGCAAGGCAACATCGAGATGATCTACTTCGAGAAAGATTCTTACGATGAGGGGAAGACACGACATCTACCCTTCTATAAGATCATAGAAAGAGCTACATCACCTCGTATTATACCGACACATCTACCTGTTAAATATCTTCCACCCGGCATCGATAAAAAGAAGGCTAAAGTAAGTATTTATCACCTAAACTCTTTTTAGAAGTGTTGTTTATGAAAACTAGAAAGAGTTACGCAAACTATTTATCCATGTATATTCTTTTTAGATTGAATAAGATCTATCCAAAATTTAGTTTTGTTTAGATGTTATTAGTTTTAATATAATGAAGCTCGATAAGTTGATTTAAGTCGACCATTTCAAGACGACCAAAATTAATCCAATCATTTCAGCTACAAAACGCCCGACTGATTTATCTTCTCGGCCTTACCATATAAGAATAGGCATTCGTATAAAAACATTCGAAGTAATGATTATTATAAATTACAAAACGCTTAAATACAGCCCTGGCATAGCACCTGAAGAGCTCTCCGAACGCTGCTGAGATGTGTGAGATCACAGGGTGGACATGATTTGCACAAGCAGACGATGTCCCATGACATCTTACACATTTTCAATGCCTGTATTTTCATCTTCTCTTGAGTTCTTTCTCTTACTTCACTACCGTCAGGCTAAATGTATAATCTATTGCCTCACTCTAAACCCAGCGCATGTTTTTTTTTTGATGACAAATGCAGCGATACAAAAATAAAGGAATCTGTCGCTTGTAAACAAAATCAGACGCCATTGTATATTCGGCTGCACACACCGCGGTATGTTCGGCGTGTCAAGAGGGAACAAATGCCGTCCTTAATATCATTCTGGGTTTTCTTTTCAATTTGAAAGTCTGGTTTCTTTGAGTGTTAACTAACCCATATCCTGTGTATGTCCGTCATGTTCATAGTGTATGTAGTTGACCTAACACTTGTACGATGACCATCTGTTAGCTTACCAGTTTCTAGTGATACATTAGTTGACATAATTATTTGTGATTTTCTTTGAATTTCCACTTCAAAGGAAAATCCCCTGTGATTTTTAAAAAGTTTCAAGACAATGATTTGGTGTCTTAAAAATATTCTTCTTGTGACTGATAGCTCCCCTTTGTAATAAATATTTGTTTACAATGTTATATCCAGGTGCTCTACGTTGCACGGAACCCTAAAGATGTGATTACATCTCTCGATCGCTTCGTAGGAAATACTGAGATGGGTGATTTCATTAGATGGCAGAGCGCCCTCAAGGAATTCATGGATGGAAGTATGAAACGCACACACACACACACACACGCACACGCACACACACATACACACGCACACGCCCACAGACACACACACACACACACACGCACACGCACACACACACACACACACAACACCCCCACATTAAACGATTCATCCCCAATGGCCTAAAACATGATATTTCTGTATTTCCAGAAAGCCAATATAATAATGACAGGCTCTATTCCACTAACATTATTATGGTCAACCACCACGATATCCCATTACCATAATATGGTAAGCCGTATTTAGCCACCACGATATCCCATTACCATTATGGTAAGCCGTATTCAACCACCACGATATCCATTAACATAATGATACTGTGAGGATAATAGCATGAGGCCCCGAAATTATCTCGTTCAATAGACTACAAGTCACATAATTATTACGTATCAAACTTCATTAATGCTTGTTTCCTTCGTGTCTTAAGCAAAACAGATGAAACTCGTTAAAAAATTTCAGTTGTCAAAAATAATGAATGCACGTCATGCTATTGCTGCTTTCTCGGAGGTCTTGAGAAAACTGCTGGACAAGTCGTCAAACATAAAAGAAAATGATTGTCAGCACAAACAAATCATAGCACAAAATATGTGGAGAATTTTTTAAAATCGTATTACGCATAGATTAGAGTGTAATGCACTTGGAGAGCATATAATTATTCTGTTTTTATTTTAAAATGTAAAGTGCTTTGAGCATGTTTATGTATTTATGTATTAGAAATTTATGAAGAAAGTCGGGTTTAGATTTCACAATGAAAAACAATACAATGTTTGACATGAACTTAATATCGCCTATACTGAAATTGAATGGTGAAAATGAATAGGCCATTCATTAAGAATTTCAATCAAATAAATTAAAGATAAAGGTGAGTTCTGGTAATGCGATTGCATTGTGAAAGAGAAGGTGTGGAATGGATCAGAAAAAGATGATCATGTAGCATGTGAGTATTGGTGTGCACTGCAAGGTTCTGGAGCCATCAAAATCATAATAAATTTGGCCCAGTCTTGGTAAAGTAACAAGCACTGTACACAGAAAGATGTATATGGGACTACACAAATGGTGTGATTTCCTTATCTTTATATGCTCATTACTCAGCCAGTATACATTTTCTTCCAAAATTGTTTGGCACGTGACATTTATTTGTAATCTTGAACATTCAGTGTAAGTTTCGTTTGATTCTGTGAGAATACATTTTCTTTTTTTACCAGAACTCAAGTTTATCTTTAATGTTTAGTGTTTTTTTTTGTAACACGACTGCAAGTACTTTAAAAATCAGCCCCAGGCAAAGTCGATTGCATCCACTGAAATGTGTAAACCCTATACACTGATAAATTAGATTGTCCAAATAGGATTTCCATAAATTAACAAAAGTCCATTGAAATTGCCCCTTCAGTTTATTTTTCGAAAGCCTTTGCGATTGTGCATTTTCTCTTCATTATCTCTGTTGCAGCTAGGAACTACGGGTCATGGTTTGATCACGTGAAGACATCGTGGAATCTACGTCATCAAGAAAACAGATTCTTCATCAAATATGAAGACATGAAAAAGGTAATTAAATAATCAGTCTATAATAAACAGTGTTGAAAACAGTAGATTTTTATATTATACTACGTTGATATACATACTTTTATAGTTGTAGAACAGTTTCATCCTCCATAAATGTACTCGTTAGTTTGATTACGTGAAGACCAAATGAAATTAACATCAATTACCAAGAAGGCTTATTAGACTGTAAAGAACATGTTGAAAATAGAGATTTGCAAGATACTAGCTCATACCCCTGCTTAATATCATCCCTCTTTTATGATGCAACAAGATAAATATCCTTTCTCAAAATGATTAATTATACCCAAATATATTTACTTTGTGTCATTATTTACTTGGACAGAGCCCAAGGGACGCCATCGAATCTATTGCCAAATTTCTTGAGCGCCCTCTGTCGGAGGATACCGTAGAGAAGATCGTAAAACACAGTTCGTTCAATGAAATGAAGAAGACTTATAACAAGGTCGAGGAAGAGGGGAAAGTAGAACTCGTCAAAGCTATGGGGACATACTCCTACATGAATAAAGGTAGGCCTTTGCGTTTATTCAGATAATGAAAGTGTGATATAGGGCAATTCAGGCGCGTACGCAGGGGGGGGGGGGTTTGGGGGGTTAAACCCCCCCCCTTTGGAATTTTTTTGTGTGTAAACCCCCCTAAAAAAAACCTAAAACCCCCCCCCCCCCCCCCTTTTGGATTTTTTTTTTTTTTTTTTTTTTTTTTTTTTTAATTATTAAAAAAAAAAAAAAAAAAAAATTATTCCCATGGCCGACCTAAAAAAGGTGACCTTACCCCCCCCCCAACGGAACAATATGTCAAATTTCCAAATTTCGAGACCAAAAAAAAAAAAAAAAAGTGTCCTCTTACCCCCCCCCCCCCCCCCCCCCCCCCCCCCCCCCCCCCCCCGCTTATTCAGCGGTCGGCTGAGTCGTTGCGATTTTTTTGGGACCAAAAAAAAAAAAAATGTGTCCTCTTACCCCCCCCCCCCGCTTATTCAGCGGCTGGCTGAGTCGTTGCGAAATTTTCGGACCGATTTATAAATGTTAAAACCCCCCCCTTGAAAAAATCCTGCGTACGCGCCTGGGGCAATTTGAGAAAGAGCGAGAAAGGGAAGGAGAGAGGAGAGAAAGAGAAATCGAGAGAGAAAAGAGATAGAGAGAGAGAGAGAGAAAGAGAGAGGGAGGGAGAGAGATAGAGAGAGAGAAAGGTGAGGGGGGGGGGGGGAGGGAGTGGTATGGTATGGTAGACAAATAAAGTCGTTTGAAATCGAAACATGTTACATACTCGTAGCTGTCGTTGACTGTTATAGAATTCTTTCGCATGAGGTACAAAGTGGTTTATTTCATCAATATTTTGCTGATGTGATATTTTTGTTTTACACATCTATTTCTGTGTGTTTCCCAGGTGTAATCGCGAGCTGGAAGACCCGATTCACGGTGAGCGAGAACGAAGAGTTCGACCGCGTCTATAAGGAGAAAATGTCTGACACCGACTTACAATTCGATTTTGAGTAGGCCTTTGGGCAACAAAATAATCTCCTATTTTTATCATTATTCATGACCATGGTACCTATTCTACCTCAGACTCTGGTGAAAAAGCTTAAATTCGAAGTAGTAGAATTGGATATTGAAGGTAGACTATCATGAAATACTCAAATTAATTATTTATGCTAACTGCTGTCTAGGAACTTAATTGTAATCGATAAGTTGAAATCTTATTTTCCATCTCATGTCTTTAGAATATTATATTCAACTCTGTTTCTACAATATTTAAATTACGGGGTGCTAGCGTGGGGGAATTGTTCAAAACTAAAATCGATTCGATTTACATGATCCAAAAGAGAGCAATAAGATTAATAAATCTGGCTAATTTTTATTTCTTGCAAATCGTATTTTGAAAATATCTGATTTATAATATACCATTTCCTCTGAATGTTCATGTATCAGCTAAGTAAAGATAATTTGCCCAAAATATTCCCTCCCATGTTCGCTATAAACAACGTTATTCACTTTTATTCCACAAGACAAGGGGACAATTTTAATTTCTCCCCAATCCGGAAAGTGTTTGCCCTAAAAACAATCATTTGAACCGGACCCTCATTTTGGAATGATTTGGATTCGGAGGTTAATGAAGCACCAACCTTAAATTCCTTAAACGCAAACTTCGAGTTTACCTTTTGTCTAATGTAATATAGTGTTTGCCCTCCACAGACCTTATTACCTTTTTCCCCAAATGCTTATCTTAATTAATGATGCATGTTCCGGTTGTTAATGAATAAAAACAAATTACTTTGTTTCTAAACTTATTGAATGCGTATGGACGAATTACATTTGCTATGTGATTTTCTCAGTGTACTATCTAATCTAATTCGCGTTTTCTTCATGGGCGGCCTATTATACACGGTCCAATTCTAAATTCTGGACTCTTCAAATTTTCATGTTACTCGGGAAACTGAGTAACATTTATCTTTCTGGTTTTCTCCAAGTAATCTAAATAAAGCTTGCCATTTCATGTAATTATATTCTTGAATAAATTACTGCATAGATACACTTGATGTTTCGTTCAACGGTGCTTTAATTGCTTACTGAAGTGCTCGGAAGACTACACATTTTGACAGCGTGACTATAGGTATTGATGCTAATGCATTTGTATACAAATTTCCATATTCCATTGGGTTTAAATGCCCCCTGCTACGATGTTTCCATCTACAATGTCTATTTTAATCAGGATCCTATACTATACAAGCACTGCTTTTTAATAGGTTCCTTGCATTCTTTATTAATCTGCTCATACTAAATGTATATATAAATAATTTTCATTTTATATGTCTGTATTATGTTGTTGTAGAATGTGGAACAAATACAATTTGAACTTGAACGCTGTGATGGTATTACACATATTAATTATCATTTTTGTGATTTGGTCCTCTTTAACTCGTGCCGTTAATAGCTAGGATACTAGTGATTTCACGCCGAAAAGCTGGTCTATACATATATATATATATTTTATGCAAATTTCGTTTAGTTTCTTTGCTTTCTTTGTTGTATAGATTATCTTTATACATGTATTAGCTTTTTTATGTGAATAAGAAATAAAAAAACACAGAAAAGAGGTACGTTGCTTGATATTATGGGAGAGAGAAAGAGGTAGAGAGAGGGAGAGAGAGAGAGAGAGAGAGAAAGATAGAGAGAGAGAGAGAGAGAGAGAGAGAGATGGGGGGGGGGGACGCTTAATCAAAACAAAAAAGAGGGAGAGATGGAGATAGAGAGGAGGGAGGTAGTTAAAGATGAAGTCATCTACTTTCACAAAAGTCCATGGAGGGACTTTTTTATTTATTTTTTTACAATTCGCTCAAATTATTATTATTATTATTATTATTTTGTTTTTGGACCGCCATTTTTGTTAGTTTTCGAGGGGCTGGTAAAAATCTCTCACTTTTTTTGGAGGGGGGGGGGGGGGAGGGTTGCTGGCAAAATAGGCATTTGCGTGTGGATGCATCATAGATCCACTGAATGAAAGGAGACCTCATCCCAAGAAATAACTTTATTCATTCTAAGAGGTTTATTGTATTTTAGCCCATTAATCTAAAAGATTTCACACCAAGGTGCACGAGAGAGGTACAAAGCAAGATATTCTTAGCATAATGTACAGTTTCTCAGCACGACATGGGCATCGACATTAATAACTTTTAAGTGAAAAATTTTGAGGTCAAACTCAGTGCATAGCTCGATATCCGATGGCTATTATTTGAAGTTCAAAGTGCAAAGCCGGGACGTACAGATAGCACATAATAAACGGTATAATACCGAGCATAATTTGTACAAGTATATACCTACATGCCTTTCGTAATAACAGTGCATGTTTGAAATCAGTATAGGTTCATCGGATCACTACAACTTACAAGACTTACCAAGGTAATATCACTGTGTCTTTATCTTCTTTCTTGTTTCCAGTAATATTTGTTTATATTGATTTATAATAATAGTTATAATTATTCTGTGAATTTGCCTGTCGATATAGTATATGCTGGCAGCTGGCTGTGGTGATTTTAGAAGGAAAACATCGGTTCTAAAAATGAAAAAGTTAGAGCTTTCAATATTGCTATATTTGTTATCAATCTTACATATAGGCCTACAGGTTATATGTTACAGTTTAGATTGTATACTATATACGTAGTATAGATTAGTTTGTTGTACTCTTTGTAAGATTAGTTGATACAATACTCATCATGTTTATACTCCGCTCTTTTCCCTGTATACATATGTAACATCACTAACATGTGCAGGGGCGGATCCATGTAGCGATTATTCCGGCCCGGCCCCCCCCCCCTAGCCCCCCCAAAACGATAAAAAAATAGGATAATAACGTAAAGTTAACCTTTATAAAACAAAAAACAAAAGCGCCCCCCCCGCTTATTCACCGGCCGGCTGAGTCGGCACTAAATTTTGTATTAAGATTTGGCAACCCCACCCCCCCCCCCCCTTGACGCAGGCGCGGATCCACGGGGGGGGGGGCTGACGGGTCAACAACAAAAAAGAATTAAAAAAAAAAAAATTCTCACGAATTAGGTGAAAAAATACAAAAATATTTGTATTTATATTCACCGGCTGACTGAGTCGGCGCAAAATATTTCCTGAAAAATTGGACCAAAAAAAAAATGCCTCCTACCCCCCCCCCCCCGCTTATTCACCGGTGGCTGAGTCGCAACTAATATTTTCACACGGATTGGCCCCCCCTCCTCATCCCGCCGGCTGGATCCGCCACTGAACATGTGTTATGGACCTTAATCTGCCTTGCGCCTTGTGTACAGCTGAGTCTGAAATAAAGTTCTGAATTGAAACCAATTTGGGTTCTTTCAACAATTATTTAAAAAAAATCTTATGAGGCAAACGTAGAAGCAATTTTTGTTAATGTTCCTGTTATTTTAAATATTCTTTCTCCTTTTCTCTCTCCTCTATACATTCTGTCTTTTAATTCTTTCAGGCGCTTAGAAACATTGTATTAATTAAACGATATTTAAACTTGGCGTTATACGTTTTTTTATTAACACTATTACTATTCATTTCTTTTCATATATGTTAATCCGGATTGGGTGGCCAGTTGATTAGTTTTAACTTTTCATTTTGACTTGGTTTATTCAATAAAATTAATTTATCTTTGCAGTCATAACATTTGAATGGTATTATTTTGTCGTTGTAATGAGATATATTTTCATAAATATGTATAAGTGTTTTTTTGTAAATAATATACAATAATGATAATTATAGTTAATAATTTTGGACTGGTGTAGATTACTGTACTTGAAAATAAAAAAATGGATTCTTCTAGGCTTCTTGCGAACATGGTACAGGCATGTTTACGCTTTGTCATCATTGTAAAGCTCAAACCCCCCTTCTTGTGAACAAAGTATATATAGGAAGATTATAAACAACACCCAAATGAGAACAGTTATGTTTGCGATCAAAATGTGCACAATACTCTTATTTATAATAATGTACTTATTCTTTTTCTTTTTTTTTTATTTCAGGCTGTTTCGTATAACAACGGAATGCTATATAGAAAATACATGTGTCTGTAAAAGGAAACGACATACATTAGAACGAAATAAGAATTAATTAAGAAAGTAAAAAAACGAATTCTCTTTTGAAATTAATAGTATATAAAGATAAGAATCGAGAGATCTGAGAAAGTACGACCATGGATCTAACATCTTTTAGTCGTGATGATTGGGTAGATCATTCAGTACATGGCAGTGTTTTCTACGATGGACTGAAGTTCAACGCCCTGGTCATCCCGTCAAGCATCGAGGCTTCGAAGACATTCGATGTCAGGGAGGATGATATCTGGATTAATACCTACTCAAAGTCAGGTGAGTAAAAACATATTATTTCTATAAACATATATGTACAGTCATAAATAAAAGTGTGTGATTACAAAAACCAAAAGCATATATGAACGGCAATGATCGACTCGCCATGTCTGACTCGACCAAGCATCAAATTGTATTACTTGTCATTGTCATTATTCTCTTCTTATTTTCTCCTTCTTCTTCTTCTCCTTCGTTTTCTTCTGCTTCTTCTTCTTCTTATTCTTCTTCTTCTTCTTCTTCATCTTCTTCTTCTTCTTCTTCTTCTTCTTCTTCTTCTTCTTCTTCTTCTTCTTCGTCTTCTTTTTTCTTTTCCTTATCCTTTCTTCCTTTAAATAAATTACTACTGTTATTATCAACATCATTATCATTATCTCCACCTCCACCGTCACCATCACCACCACAACCATCATCATCACCATCATCATCATCATCATCATCACCATCATCATCATCATCATCATCACCTCCATCATCATCATCATCATCATCATCACCTCCATCATCATCATCATCATCACCATCATCATCATCATCACCATCATCATCATCATCACCATCATCATCACCATCATCATCATCATCATCATCACCATCATCATCATCATCATCATCATCACCTCCATCATCATCATCATCATCACCATCATCATCATCATCATCATCACCATCATCATCATCATCATCACCATCATCATCATCATCATCATCACCATCATCATCATCACCTCCATCATCATCATCATCATCACCATCATCATCATCATCATCATCATCACCATCATCATCATCATCATCACCATCATCATCATCATCATCACCTCCATCATCATCATCATCATCATCACCATCATCATCATCATCATCATCACCATCATCATCATCATCATCACCATCATCATCATCATCATCATCACCATCATCATCATCATCATCATCATCACCACCACCATCATCATCACCACCATCATCATCATCATCATCACCATCATCATCACCATCA